AGTTACAATCACGAAAGTCTTTTTGGAATTTGAACAAAAAAACTTAAGTACTAACAATCACAAATTTATTAATTTTCAAGCAAGATTTGAGATTTCAGACAAGATCAGAATGTTCATCACACATTGTTGATACATAGGTACCGTAAGACACACTTAAGTGGGCATAGCTCATTGAAAGACGATAAAATCTTTTGTAATAAATTATGCAAAATATGCTCTCAACTTTTATGGACGGAAGATCTCAGCATGTTTCTATTTCTCCCTGCTTTTTAAAAATGCAAATATAATTCTTAAAAAATGGCAATACACTTTCATATATACATTCAAAAATTATATCAATCTAAATTTCCATGATAAATCTTACATTTGCTAATTATGCCATAGCACAAATTAAAATCATAATCTCCATTTCACATGTAAGTTTTTTTCAAAGCTAACTCAGGGAAACAAAACTCTTTGCCAAGGTTCCAATTCTTAGTGTTAATTTTGTCCCCATTTTTATGCACCTGGAGATTTTCAAACTAGTGAAGTAGAACATAAGACGGCGAATCAGAATACATAACAATTTGATTCTGTAGGAGTCACAGATTTTGAATGTTTTCTAAAATTTCATGTTCACATAACAAAAATTACCAATAGTATTTACAGACAGAAAATGAATTTAAACTCCTGAAGGAGTTTAATAACACATTACAATACATACCAACAGTTCAACAAGGTAAAAAGTCTAGTTGAATTGAGTGAAGTTGATAGACAAAGGCCAAATTTTGCAAGGAATGTACTAAGAAAAGTAATATGCAAAAAGTTTTAAAAACCTAGGGACTTTTTCACGACAATGGCAGACAAATCATTAACATTGTAATAACTTTAACTCGACCTTAACATGATATCAAGAGTGAAACGAAGAGATGAATTAAGGTGGGAGAAACATACATGTGTAAGAAAAGATATGTGTAGCATCGTAGTGAAATAAGTTGCTTGCCAAAATCATGAAATTAAAAAAAAAAAAGCGCCATTTTCCCACCTCTTTGGCAATTTTTATCAATTTTTTTTCTTCTTTAGGCTCGACACCTTTATGTCCATTTAAAAACACATTTATGAGCAGAATAAATTTTAAAGAAATTGATGAAAGGCACAAAAAAAAGTAAATTCGTAATTTTCATGGACCCTCAGGCTTTAGAAGTTACCAAACTTTGGCAGTCATTTTCTCCCTTATTTTACCACAAACACCAGGAGACCCCTACCTCTTTCACTCATAAATACCTTAACGTCTATTTAAGATAGATGGGTAGTTTTAAAATCAAAAGCAAGACAAATAAACAAGCTTTAAGATTATACAAATAACTTCGTAGGTTCAAGAATTAATGAGCTCCCGCTTCCATTATGTCCTGGCACTTAATAAATGTTCCTAACACACTTGACCATGCCGTTTTACATTCACAAAGGAATTCACACTTCATTCAGTTTGTGTCATACCGAATCATGATGAGGGTGTGTCTAATCCCCATCATGACATTCTCGACCTTGGATTGTTTTGAGAGTTTTCAAGACTCTTCTCTTACAGGGATCAGCCCCGTTTAGAAATGAGCATTAAATTTGGATATCTTGCCTCTTAACCTTACTGTGGTGAAAGGGCCATTAAAAAAATTCAAACCTAACAATACACTGATGAAACCACCTGAGATGAAGAAAAGAACTGGCAAAAGGCAACAAATGGCAGATAAAGGCTGTAATAGCATCAAAACAGAATTATGAGTTTTGAAGTACAGTGGAAACCTGATATAACAGGGATGGTGGGAGTAGAGAAAATGTCCTGTTATATCCGATCCCTGTTAAATCAGAAATGCAAAGGAAAGTAAGCATTTGTGGACTAATCCAGCTCTACTTATTCATGGGTAGTTTCCCTTGCCTCAAGTACCCACGAACAGGGGTTTTGGCACCAACTTTCTCCTTGCCTCCTTAAACCACATCAGAAGAGCTTGGTCCACAGCATCTGCAACGGGTAGTCTCATCTTCTTTTGATCCAGAGCAAACTTTTCATTGGAGTATGCTGCAACTATCTTCTCTCTATCCTTGATAATGGTGTGAATCGACCCTTGTGGAATGTCGAACTGATGACAAATCTCTGCCAGTGAAGCTTGCTTTTTGTCAATAGCCTGGATTATTTCGTATTACAGTCCATGCCGGCTTTAACTTACGGTCGTCGGGAGAAAGCTTAAGCGTGCCTGAGTGCGATGTAGACATAATCCAGAGATTTTCATGTAGAAAATTTCCTGTGCTATTTCCCTTTGTTTATAAGTAGGCCTATAGCGGTCCCGCAAAAGTGTGCAGTTATTTGACACCCGCCATGGCAGTTTTTGTTTGCTTGTTTGTTTTTGTTTTGTGGTCGAATGGGAAATGAAAACTTAATTTAGACGGCCAGTCATGATACAGCACACTAGGCCTACACACTGCCTGTGCGTACCACTGCCCGCTGTGCCACTCATACCACCGCCTTCATCCCATCTCGCGCATGATACACAATCAGGATTAATGGATAGCGAGGGTCAAAGATGAAATCGCAGCCAGCCTCCCTTTCACGTTTCCCCGACTCTCTTTGTATTTTTTTTTGGTCGTGTGTAGCTTTGCCCAAGGCCTAGGCTAGATCCTATGTCCACGCGCGTGGCTGTGTGCATCTGCCTTCCTCTCTGCCCTTGTGAGTGTGCGTGTCCATCACTTGCGTTCTTTGTGTTTCTCTTGACACTCTCCACTGCTGCCGTGTAGACTGTGTTTGAACCTCGATGTGTCATCATGAAAATATTGACTGTCTTGTAAATGAAGCGTGCTTGAAGCCGAAGTTACCGTGCTTAAAGGCGTGTAATTTATATAGCAAAAATTCTGTAAGAGCCGTTTAGCGTGCCTGAGTCCGAAACATGCTTTAAGCCGGCGTGCTTAAAGCCGGCACGGACTGTATTGTCAATTGAAAGGCAATTTTCTCTCGCGCTTGACATCGTTGGTGACACATTATGCGAGCATGTTGCTAGGTTTCTGGCTAGATCGAGGTCTGCAGCACACTGCAGCCCTCTCTCGCTTCACACGCTGCGTGTGCTTGCAGTGGCATGGCTTGCGTGGGCTCGCTCCATCACTGCGTTACTCTCTCTCTCTCTTACTTTTTACTCATTGTTAAGGAGCCTTTGTCCCTGCTATAACCGGTTGGGCTCCGATGAGGCCCTGTTATTGCCGATAACTTTTAATAGAGATAAAAAGTAGGAAAAAACGGGGATTTTAAAAATCCCTGTTATTACCGGATCCCTGTTATTACCGGGCCTGTTATATATGGTTTCCACTGTAGTTTTTCAAAAAGTCGTCAAATACATTTACATTAGCGTTTAGTGTTCCAGTGATGTCTGACAACAGATGGCAGATCTTTGCAAATCTGTTGAAGGTCACAAATGTCAATTGGCAAACAAGACAGTAAAGAGTGTGAGAAATATGTTTGCTTAGAGTAATTCATACGAGTGAGTACGAGTTGAAAAAAAGACGTCAATGTCTTGCAATCTATAAAGTGTGCAACAGCTTTTTCTATAATTAAATGGTTATATAAATTAAGTTACTTAATATACATACAAAATAAGATTGTTTTAAAAAAATAGTAGGAAAAATATATCTCAATAAAATATAAAAGACCTTTTGTAGCATTTGTAGAATACAACAGAGAGACAACAATTGATCCTGCTTGCGTAATTTACAAATCAAAAGTAAAAAAAGCATTAGAATATGGACATATTTCTGTAAAGATAAGTATACTGACCCAATGACAATCATTAAGAGCAAGGAAAAAGCAAAACAGACAGAGGACCAAAAAAGAATCCTGACCTACCACCAATGCTTCACTTCAACCACCAACTGAAAAGACATTTCCCAAACAGACTGACAAAGATAGGGCATATAACAATATAAATCATGTGCAATGCCTTTTCAAAAGGTAAAATGTAAACAAACTCCTATATATCAGTATGAGCTACAAAAAACTATGCTTACAAAATGTCAGGAGCTACTCAAAAAATGATCCCTTATTCTTGTGCAATACACAAGAAAATTGCCTTGATAAATTTGTTGTGACAAAATTTTGAGCTTGATGTTATTCTGTTAGAAGTGAGAGGGTAAGTGAAATGTTGTCTCCACTGGAATGAAAACTTGTCTGTTTAATTCTATCCGTATGTCGTGTTTTACTATCGCTTCCATACGACGTGGGCAACTCTGTGCCACCACTTTCCAAAGAGGAAATTTACTACTCGTTAATCTGATCTGTACGCTTTGCATAGCAGTTTGTCAAAATGATTTTTTGTGAAATACTGAAAATTTCAAAGAGATCTTCGTACTAGAAGTTTTCTAAAATGTGAAGAATACAGCCCCGGGTGTACAAAATGACCTCAGGGCGAACAGATAGGGTTAAAGTTCTAATCTATTAAATATCATTTCACAACAAATTTCAATTTAGATTACTCATGGCAGATAACTGGCTCTAATTTGATCTTTATAACAATCCAAACTGTAAGATGGTAGGAATGGGATGGAGACAAAGTTTTTGTGTGTGTGTATGAGTGTGTGTGTGTGAGTGAGAGAGAGAGAGAGAGAGAGAGAGAGAGAGAGAGAGAGAGAGAGAGAGAGGGAGAGAGAGAGGGAGAGAGGGAGAAGGAGAGATAGAGAGAGAGTATTGTATGTGCAGAACAGAGTGTGTCAGAGGGTGTGTGGGCATGAGCACCCAATTTGTGCACACTGTAAGCATACACACTACATTCACAATCAAATCAAAATGCATAATAATCTAATATATACATGTCTTTACAAATCCAGAGGATTATATTTAAGTTAAAGTTCCATAAGGCACAAAGTGTAGCAATTCTTCAACATGCTACAGACACAAACACACACTCATCGTCAAGAACTGCGGTGCCATCCTTCGTATCACAGAATATCACAGCATTTTTGATCAGAAAAATATAACTGGACACCACATCCACTTTCAATCTTCTGCGTATTTATTTGCAAGATTCAGGTCATCTCAGAGTATGTTCTCCTCTGTTTTTTGGGGACTACTCTTCACTTTTGCCTTCCTTTTTTTATATATGCAGGATCATAACTATACAAAAAAAATTCAATGTGCACATGTCAGGATAAGTCATTATGTCACATATATAACTGCACAATCTGTCACTGTCATGTTTCCCAACTTTCTGTTGTGCAAGTCCTATACAACTGACAAGAGCAGATGAGATCCTCTCTGAGATCCTGAAAAAAATTAAAGCATATTCCTAGACACTTGGCTGACTGACAGCAGACAACTCAATAGCTTACCACCATCAACATGCATATTTACCCAAAGTACACTGCACACATAAGTATGTAAATAGAATATTACTCAGACTTCAAGATACCGTTACGTTTCATATTAATCTTTTAACCCCAACCCCCTACTCTCTTGCCCTAAACATACTCCTGGACAGCATACGAAATAAACAAGACTGGTTCATGCATACAAATTCAGACATGAAAAATCAAATTCATTCAACCAACATTCGTTTCTCCCTCTTTGACTATTCAAAGATTTATTTGCAAACTAACTCAGTCGAGCGAGTGAACATGTTCATGAAACCCAAACTTGTAGTATAACTCCCCATAAAGTGTGTTTGAGGGACAGAACATTTTTTGGTCAAGGTCTGAGCTTTCCCCATTCACAGAGTTTTAGCAGTGGAGACTTGTGCAGGTTTTTACATAGCAAAGGAGACATTAGTCTATTATCTCCTTCTCTCAAACTCTTTGTGGATCCATTCAGAGTCTTCATAGAAATGTGGTTCTCCCAGTTTTAATGCTGTTCTTTTGTAGAAATAGTAATAGAAGACTGCAGCTGGAACAAAAAAAGAAGAAAAGGTCAAATGAGGTGAACATTTAATGATTTACTTTTTATATATCTTTTGAACTCACATAATATAAGGTAATTCTCGTTTACATTATATCACTGCAGTTGCAAAAAAAATTTAGTGACATCAAAGTTTTTCAACTCACCCTGAAAAGCCGGGTCAGAGTTAAGCATTTTTTGTACAAAAACCATAATATGCAAGAGGCAGAGCATTTTCTGCCATAGATAAAATACACAACAAACTTACCAAACATTACTTCTTTCTCCATTTTAAAATTTTATTGCAAATGCTTAAATGTATTATTTCTTATTGTTAAAGACAACGTTACATCATTGTCTTTATTTCTTATTTTCTAATAAAACTGAAATGAAAAGCTTTCTTATATTTGAGTGTTTGTTTACATAAAACGTCTTTTTAGATAAGGATAGAAAACAGCACAAGGCTGCCTATCAACTTTTCAGACCTATAAAGTCCAGCCAGGCTTTAGTACTTGCAAAAACCAAGCTGTAGGTATTCCTGAAAACCAGATAAACAATGATGGGCATTACCAATTACACATAAAAACTTACCTATTCTCTGAAAGGCAAACAAAACCTGGTAGCCAGTGTTATCCCAGATGTAGAACTTCACATCTCCCCACCGCAAATGCTGCAGAAAAGGCAAAAGACATAATTATGACTTTCACCAGCTCACAAATATTATTAGAAATATACACAGATCTATTTAAACCTCTCTGTTTGTATGAATTTTATGTCTCAAACAAGGCAATGCCCATTATTTAGAAGAGGCTGGATCTATAACTGTCGAAATTACTGTATTAACAAATTCCTATTGGGTTCTCCTTTGATATCTTTTTGACAGTATATGTCCTTTCAACTACCCCACCATACCAGCAGTAGTGGTGTAATGGATAAGCCTTGCCTATCTTTGCCTTGTTTATAAAAGATGTGAGTGTGGCTCCCATAATAGGAAGTTTATTTTGTTCACTATCTGTCTTCCTGATGGGATATCATACATCACTCAGTCTGGATAGGCCCCGACAAACTGGGTTGAAGCAGTTAGTCTTCTAAAAGATTTAACTCCTATCTGCCCCATAACGGCATGGCCCATGTTGATTCCATTTCCTCCATTTCGGCCAGAACGACACAGAGCATGTCGCTTTCACCTCCCCTAATTAAATACACGTTTTCGTTCAGTCTTTCAAATCCATGTTTATAATACTGGTCAAGAAAAAAATAGACATGATCAGGCTTCCCACTCATGATGAAGAAAATATTTCTAGTTTTTTTCCCAGTTTTCACCTGGATTTTGTAACCATGGTCCATGTGATTATAAAAAAAATATGACAGAACTATGAAGAAGAAACAGAAAGAGATACATGCAAGAGAAATTTTTTTAACATGGCCACAGACAGTCCCTTTTACAGGGGTGTCAAGGACTGGAGTTTTAGGATACGTGTAAAGGTGCAATGAAAAAGGTCTCGGCAGACTCATCATTGTTAACTGTTAAATTTTTTTAAAAAAGAGGGAGGGGGGAGGGGAGGGTGCTTATTTGCTGTTAGTTTGACTATAGCAAAAACATAAGAAACCAAAGGGATACATCACAAGCCTTTGACCCTGATTGAGCATCACCACAAAATATGCTGTGCACCGTAGCTGATTTTTTCAAGTTTCAAACTAGATCGTTTTTTCCCCCCATGTTCTTTCATTTCCTAGGCCATCATCAACAGCGCAAAGGAGCAGGAATTTTTTAACACAAAGGTGCAGGAATTTTTTAACACATTGTCAAACTTATGTTGGTCTTACTACTAGCTAATGTTTATCTAAAGGCAAAGTGTTACTAAGCAACTACCAGGGCTCTGTTTTCAGAGCATGAGTTAGACAGCTGCACATAACTTAAAGACCGTTTTCCTAACTTGTACACTGGGAAGGTGGGGATGGGTAGTGGCAGCTGAATGGCAAATAAATTTTAAAAAATTGGAGTCAGGGGTGGGATGCTATGATCATACTTTCGTAAAGCTGAAAATAAAACAAAAAGTTTAAAACCTTAACAATTTCGACAAATTCATAATGATGGGCAGCTCTTTCATTTCCTGACTTTCTCCCGTATATTTTCATTTCCATTCATTTTTATGGTGTTTTCGCGACCGGGAATTCTAAAAATGAAATTCCTAGCCTCTTCCCCGCTTTCCTGGTTGTGTGGAAACCCTGCATAATGATACTTCCTTTCTTTGTGAGTATTCAAAGCTGGAAGGCATATTTTTTAAGTAGCAGCATGTTTTATCAGCGACAATTTTGCATATATAGACATGAACAACATGATTTACACATTTCTTTACCATTGTCCACACATGGAGGGCCACACACAAAGAGAAGTAGATAAACGTGATGGATATGGCAACCTTGAATTTTGAAACCAGGATGCTAATCAAGCCAGCTTGGAATATAAATGTTGAGAAGAACAGCAAGAAGATGATGATGACTGCAAAAACCAGACAGAAGTCCTGAATCCTGAAAGACAAAATATAAACACAAAATTGTAACATTCTAAAAAATTTAAGCCTTCAAGAATGTTTTTGTTTACTTTCTCTATTTGATCACACATTTGACAGATGTTTGTTCATATATATATATATATACAAATGAATCATACATCAATTTCACCACACATATATCGAACAACATACGCTGATAAGGTGGTGCACATACATTATATGTCATCAGATTATAACTTATTATAAGACACATCAACTTTAAAATGGCAAGCACCATCACTTAGAAGTCGCCCACAGGGGGGCAGGGGTGGGAGAGAAAATGACTGACTACTGACTGTGACCTCATTGGAAAAGGACTTCTATAGACAAGACAGGTTAAAAATATAGGAAAAACTCAAGGGTGTCTCACTAGCACAGGTAAGGAAGCTGTTATGGTAAGGTAACCCTACGCAGGTGCAACTGTAAATATAAAGTCGCATATCTAACGCATTAAATTCGGGTTAATTACAGTACAATACTGAGCATGGACAAAACAGTGCAAAACTTTTTAGGAAATGTCTTTCTAGGGACTCAGCTGCTCCTAACCTAAGTGTAACTTGATTCAGGCACACATATAATATATGTATTGTTTGTTTGTAAAGGTGTGAAAGCATGGCGCATTAATTTCGGGTTAATTACAGTACGATACTGAGCATGGACAAAACAGTGCAAAACTTTTTAGGAAATTTCTTTCCAGGGACTCAGCTGCTCCTAACCTAAGTGTAACTTGATTCAGGCACACATATAATATATGTATTGTTTGTTTGTAAAGGTGTGAAAGCAAACAGGGAATCAAGGGATGATTAGAAACATATATAAGTTTTATATATAAATGCCTGTGTTATGCGTATGGCCCTCCCCACATACGGCCCTCTAAAGTAGGCCCTATAGGGATTTAGATCTAATTAAGCTCAGCTGGACCGCGTCACTTTATCGATCCATATCTTTCATTGAAAAAAGGTCTGCGTCTATGCCCTTTATATAGCTGCGTGCTTCCCAATCGAAGTAGGTCAGCCCTATAGGGCCTGCGTGCTTCCCGGGTAGCCTGGCTCACACCCTTTATAAAGGGCCTGCGCGCTTCCAGGGTTAAGTTTGTCCACTTGTGGTGTTCGGTTCGATAGTTTATGAGCCGCCTACAAAGCCTAACTTGTTTTATGTAAGGTGGAGGGCCGTACACATAGCCTCGATGCTATGAGTACGGGAGGGCCGTATGCATAGCCATTTCCTTATAATATAAAATAAGTGAAATAGATAGAGAAGGCGGCATTTATAGTTTTAACCCTCGTCCTGCGGGGGCCGGGTTTATGTCATCCAATAAGCCTATTTCGACACCTCGCCTTTGTTCCGGTCCCGTGTCAGTCTGGCCCCTGGCTCAGGGCATGCGCGCCAAGCACCATCTCCGTTCAATTCGGGTCCTGCGTTGGACCCGCATTCACGCACCTCAAGTGTGTGTGCGTCAGACTGCTTGAATTTGTGTGCATTTGTGGCCTACTTCTCAAACTGCTTGCGTTGGTTCATAATCAAGGCCTACGTCTCATTCAAAACACACCAAGTTGGTAGCGCTAGATGTTCATCTAATGAAATTACAAATTGACCCACTTAGACATGAGGAGCTCGAAAGGATAGTCAGGAAACAACACTTCCATTTTTCTATACAAAATCTTTCAAATGAGCTTGATTTTGTATGAAATGATACTACCTGATAAAACATAAGCTTCTTGTTTGATAGTTTTGAAAACCATTGTGCAGGTAAAAAGAACAATTTGAGTGCAAAACATTCGGAAATTGACCTATATTATCCCCTTTCGAACCCAAAATAATTAATTTATTATAACAACATGAGCGTCTAAAAAGGTTATTCGAATGGGCGTAACTACTTGTAATGTCTCATCAGCTTATAAATTGCAGGGGGTTATTCATGTGTTTGTAATGCACTTCATAAATAGAAAGCTCTATATAAAAGAAAGAGCGTTATAATTTTAATCATTGATTAACACACTCCCACGGTATTCACAGCGAAAACACAGTCGCTTTCCAAATTGTCCATGAAATTTGTCCATAAAAAAATTGTGTCTAAATACAGTTTGCAGCTTCTTTAACTCACTCACTGCCGTTGCCGCACCTGTGTGTCAGTCAAGAGGCGATGACCGCTCACCGTCGCTACCGCACTCGCCGGTCGCGTATTTTCCTCTTTATTTCTACTAATTGCTGACGCACATGCGGAAACGGCATAGCACAATTACTAGAGTAACATCCCTTTGACAACTCAGGGCAGTTTCACTTTACTAAAATAAAATGATTTCCCTTGAAGTTCTGCATACTTTTGGAACGAGAGTTCACTTAGTCCTATTTCTGGGTTTTGTTTTGAACGTTGGGTGACCAAAGTCAGCAAAACGCTCATGCCAATATGAATTGATGAGAACGGCTCATAATTTTAGAGATTCTGAATCCATTATGATTCAATGAACTCAGACTCAGATGATGAAGCGCATGAAATAAGGGTAGTGATGGTAAAGCAATGCCAATGAAAATTTAATTTTTCGCTTTTTAGCCCTTTTTATTTGGTACCTCTAAGAAAGAATTTTAATTATTTATAATAAGAATTTTATGCTTCTTGAATTTTAAGAACCGGAATAAAAAAGTTATTGGGTTGTAAAGTCACAGTAAAGGTCTGCAAAATGTATGACCCACATATATATTCTTTCTGTTCTGTAAAGCCCAGCACCTCCTACTGAAACAGGCCAATATTAATAAATCTAACACAAATAAGTACAGAGTAACTGGATTTTGAAAAAGGTAAAATAAAAGCTGGCAGGCAGCGGCTTTTTCTGATCTGAGGCGCCGGCAGCGAGTGAGTTAATCTTCTGAACTTCAAAATACTAAAAGAAACCCTCAAAAACCCTTTTATTGATGCCAATGTCAATGGAGAAATTTGGTATAAAATGTCATAACATAAAAATATGAAAAGTTCATCACTGACAAACTTTCCACAACAATAAATCAGAATTTGAGATCATACAAAGTTTTGGATGCTGGTCGTCACAGTGCACCGCTGTTTTTAAGCTTTAGACAAGTTGTAAGTCTGTCGTGTCTTCCTTGAAAGCACACCCCAATGACCACTCGCCTATGTGTCAGCAACATTAGCTGTCATAACATTATTGTGAGCCTGAGCTCTAAACATTACATTGTCTATTGTTAATTATTTTAAGAATACACTTACACAAAGAGCACCAGCATTATGACATTTTGAAAGCGCAACAGCTCAGTAAAGGAATTCATAAAAATGTCAACAATCAGGAGCAAATATTGCAGAAGCAATATTGGTCTGTAGCGACTGACGAGCATCATCTTGGCGGCTTAAACTATAAACCTTCTTGACTCGTAATTCTGGTTTTTAAATCTCTCGTACTTTCTTTAGTCAAGGAGATGAACTGCTGGATGGAGTGGTCTTCTCAATAACAAGACCAAAAATCAATGCAGAGCACCATCCAGCTAAAGAATTAAGTAATTTATCATTCACACATCGTGATCATATATCCGTTATCGGCGAGAAACATGGGATGAAGAAATTTGTAGGGACTAAATAAAGCTAGCTGTTCGATTCAAACATGTATACTCATGTCGCCATTATGTTTACTATCGCTACGACTTGAAAAGGCTGGAGTGAAATTAGTTTCGCATGGACAAGAAATTTGAAAAATCTCATGAATATTAATTACACGCTGACTAAATTATACATTTTATACTAAATTGACAATGAAGTCCATTAGGTAATAGATAGGAGCGCAATATCTTTGTTTCTCGTTGTAAAATTATGATGCGAAAATAAATCAGTGTCAAACTCCTCATTCAACCCGTTGCCCGTTGAATGCACTTCCGTTTTCAGTTTTCCAAAGTCGAGGAAGCGCGAACATAAACATTGAGTCCGAAATGAGGCATTAAAATTATTATGCTGCTAGTCAATCGTTGTCTTCCGCCATGTAAGTACAAAATTAAATGCCCGTTCGCTCTTACATTGTTTGAATAGCCCAGCAAGGTGTCGATGCTATGCCTAGACATGAATCTTGATTTTTGTTAGCACTCCTTTGCTCATTGCTATGGACGCCACACCCCCAAATAACAGACTGAGACAGTGGTCTAGTCTGAAAAAATATAGATCTAGATTCTAGATCTAGATGTAAATACCATGATACTGCAATGGGGCGAAAAGCGTGCACGCTCTCGAAACTTATCGGCGTGCACCTGGTGAGATGCGGGATGCGGGTAGTGCAGCTCATTGTTCCATTGATTGTTAACTCACTCACTGCCAGTCAGGCATTTCTCGGCAGGGTAAATGAGGAATGCCAGGCTTTCGGGACCTTTTTCAAAACCTCACTGTGAGCTTATGGTAAATTTTTACTTTCACTCCCGCACACAGATGCACTGTTTCAGGGGTCAAACTGCTGTACTGTTTGCTGCAGATCACACGCCACTAAAACTGTCGCAAATCAATTATTTTCAAGACAATTTCAAATCTAACTGTAAAATATCAAATTATGGGTGTAAAAACAGGGGGGCATGCCCCCCTGTAACCCCCCAGATTTTCTTTTACCCCAGTGGGGCAGGCCCCCCTGGAACCCCCCGATTGGTCCAAAGCATGTCTATAGTCTATCTCGGTTAAAAACAATCAAATATTTCAAAAACCATTAATTTGCGACGGAAATGAAGTTGATATTCGTGTTCAGCGCATCAATATTTAGTAGAAAATAGACAACTGGTAGCTGAGTGTGAGACGGGAGGGAAAGTAAAAAAATACCGAGCTTATTATTTTGTGTACAGCATTGAACTTTTCCACAAACATTGACATTGAAACATACTCAACAAATCAAAAAAAAATTTTGTGACCTTTATCGTGTGAAATTTTATGAGTTTGTGAATATGTGGCAAAATCGAGAAAAAAACCTTTTACATAACATTTGTGTGCTCGGTACATTCTGTCGATATGCATGCCTTTATATCTTTGTCTCTGCAAGAAATAGATGTTGTATCAACTGACAAATGTTGAAGTCACTATGAAAAGATTTTTCTGACAAATTTGAGCATCAACATCAGGGTGTGTGGTTGCAGGACGGGGCATGGACACCGGGGGAGGGGTGCCACTATTTGAAGTTTGTTGTGTAGACCAAGGACTAGGAGGGTCTATATCAGCTGTATTCCTATGATTTGGGGTCTAAATCTACGTTGTGTGATCTTTGACGTTTGCGTGACGGTCTGAACTGGGACCGGGAAGCATCGGATCATTGGTCTGAGCACGGGGAACTCCCGATTTTAAATCTAGATCTAAGCCTAGATCTAGATCTAGCACAAATTTCATCTTCACTTGTGTCCGCACCTCTCCTATTTCCTTTCCTATACTCAGGGCTTGAATTAGGTGTTCAAGAGGGCAGGGAAAAATTGCCTAGGTATGGCCTAAAAATCAGAGGGCATCGAGGCAATTTGCTAGGGCACCAAGGCAAAATTCACAGGGGATGATTTTGTTGATTTAAAGTTGGTAATACTGGGTCATGCATCACAGCGTTTATAACAATACAATTTATTCTTACTCTCTACAAAAGTATAAAGTTATTGGAACATTATAAAATTTGTAAAATTATGAATGAAAAGTAAGTAGAATCTAAATCACAGTAAAATCACATCAAAACAAAAGCACTAAAAGTCACAGTTTTAAATCAGACGATCACGATTGCATCTGACATAAATGCCTTTATGACTACCCCTCATTGATTGGATTAAAATGCATAATGTGTATGACTGTTGGAAATAGGGCACAATAGAAAACAGTGAATGATTTGACCAATTAGGTAAGACATTGATCATTAATGAGATTCAAACAGAGTGGTTTTCAGGAGGTGTAATGATAAAATGAAAACAAATTTTGAACTTGCATGTAAGAAAATGAGGAGTGAAAACAACTTATGAACTTGTACGGAAAAAAAGAATGAATAACTTAAAACAGTTGTTAAACAGTTTTATGAGGTTTTATGACTATGATAAGTGAAAACAAGTTTTGAAAATATGTCTTAAAGTATGTTGTATAAAAAAGACCTAAACAATCAGCATGTCATATGACTTAATGACTGGATCAGAATATTGAAAATATGTTTGGCACACACAATATATAGAAAAAGACTGGCATACTGAGGTTTGGTTATCATTGGTGTGAGTGTGTTTGCACTAGCCTTGACAAAATTGACACAATTGTCAAGCTGAGCAGTGTCTGACTGAAGTTTTGATGAGATTTCAGACAACTCTGACAGGATGTCTTCATACCCCCCCCCCCCCCCCCTTCCTCACGTGTATCTTAAAAATTAAAAAAATAAATAATTTCTCCCTATTCCGGAGTCCCATACTTCGCAGCGTTCAGACTTTGAATGAACTTTGGTGACCCCAACAGCCGGTGCTCACACGATGCCGTATCTTGTGATGTAGGTTCAATGACCGGTCACGATGGCGAACCCGACAAGACGTTTGTACATTGTATAACTTTCTTTTCTTTTTTTTTCCACAAGTGACAGCACAGGACAAATTATATTGATTTATTTTCATGGCGTCACGTTTAAAAAAATTAAAAACAAGGGCACGGCAAAAATTGCCGCGGTTGACCCTGTGATTTTAAGGGCATTGCGGCAAATTGCAAAGGCACCAAGGCAAATTGCCGTGGTGCCGCGGTCTATTTCAAGCCCTGTATACTCATTATCAACTCTGTATGATGGTTCATCATCACTATCATCTGCTAAAAGATCTAAATCTGACCCGTTATTGACGAATGGGTCCATCAATTCAAATGTTCCGACCTCGTTGAGACGCCGTCGCCATCGTAACTGAGCGTTAGTAATTCTTAGTTCGTTCTATTATACTAGCTGGGCCCCCTTTCAATGAAAGGAATGATTGGAGCATTAACGTCAACTGAAAGTCATTGGCCTACTAGGTTTATACTCTACTGGAATGGAGCAATAAATCTTGAGAGTTGCAAAAAAATTAGAAGATAAAATTAATTGTACAGTCAAACCTGTATAAGACGGCCACCCATTGTCAAGGAGAAAAGTGGCCGTATAAGACAGGTGGCTGTCTTAAGCAGGACGGATCAAAATGAACAAAACAAATTATACAATCTGAGGTCCCAATCGAAAGTAACCGCATTGTTGTTTTTGTTGTTGTTGGTGGTGGTGATGGTGGTTTCAAGTATTTTGTTTGTAATTTTTATTTTGTTGCTGTTTATGCACAAGGGTGACAATAAAACGAAATGTATCAGACGAGGAAGACCGAGTGCCATGTTAAAACAAACACATGGATCGCCACCACTCGGAGAACGAGCGACGATTCTGTCACAAGTTCATGTTGACGTCCATTGCTACTTTGTTACAAACTGGGTAAACAGTGACCACTCATCTCACTTACTATTTGTGTATGGGTTCTGGGCGGGGCTTATGGGTAATGAGGGATCACACGCTTACCTCACCAGCAGTTGAAAATTGGTAGCTGTTGGTCAACAGTGGGAGGGGCCTACGCAACATGACCGGTTGAAGGGACTACCTAACAACAACGACAGGTGATTGAATTGTGACGGTTCGCCCACAACACCAGGGGCCTATGCACAATTTATGACAAAACGTAATGGAGTCACTAAGGTAGCCGTCTAAGACAGGTGTAATTGCTTAGTGTGATAGGGGTTGTGTGTTAAAATATGGTGGCCGCGGCCGCGTTTAACAGGTGCCCGTTTTACACAGTTAAATTATATAGAAAAAAGGCAAGGGGGGAAATGGAAAGTGGCCGTCTTTAAATAGAGGTGGCCGTTAGGGCAGGTTTTACTGTATTTTTAAAACGAGTCACAGTCCACAGTAGATTTATGGCAATGGTCTTACCTTCCTGTCTGATAGTGTTAAGTTTTTTTGTCTTGTCACAGCAGTTATTTACTAAATCACAGAACAGCCAGTTACCAGCATTTAAACACTCTTAATTACCCATGAATTTATATATTGTACCACTGTTTGTCTACAATAACAAAGCAGTGATGAAATTGTTATGTTTATACAATGAAAACAACTGATACAGTTCATTATAATGGCTTAGGTGACATCACCCACCGCCAGTAATTTTGATAGTATGTATTTCTGTGCCTTCCATTCTCTGAAAATGGTTGTAATGCCGTGGTGTTTGAGTAGAAAGTGATCGGACCATTTACTCTGTTGTAGGAAAGTACTTTCTGTCAGTACCAGTAGTAGCTGACTCACAAGTGTTTTCAATAGTTTCTTCTTGGTAGATTACCTTGTATTTTTTTTTTTTTTATGGAGTCTCTACCCCTGTAGATGAACTGTTGATTAAAACAAATTTTTTATTTGTTTGGGAGGAGATTTATCTGATCTACCCTATCACAAATAATAATTTATAATTAAAAATAGAATTTGGTGCAATACATGCTTGTACTTGTCTTATTTATTTTGTTTTGAAACTCATAGCTTTCGTGAGAGTTTACTTTTCTGTCATTCTCATTCTATTGTATTGCTTCAGAACAATTATTATTGTTTACCTGACTTTGAAAAAATTCTGTTTGTTCACAGAGTGTTTCGTAACTTTAAAGGGATTTTGATTTCTGCAACAAAATGAGTGAATTCACAATTCACCACCATGTCAGTGAGCTGATGACTTTATTAGGGTGAGTGTTGCTTTACACATTTCTTGATTATGTGTAGAAGTATTAATTGATCCGAATCAATATTACATTACATCTCTGTGAGGTGATACTCACTTTGCAGTAACTGATGTTGTAGACGTTCAACAGAGTTTTGTTCGAGGCTTACAAATTCATGAAAGGAGCTGTAAGGGATACAATTCCTTACCTCCCGTCGGTCATGTCCTGTTGGCTGATTTACCAATTCACTCGCAAAGGAAGTCCTATCTTTTTAGCTTTTTTGATATTGGCCTGACTATGATGTATCCATTTATGTATTTTTGAGAGAGCGAAATGCTCGCAGCTAAAGGGATTTTTAAAAAACAACAACAACAACATGTATTTTTGAGAATTGCATTGTGTATATTATTTTATTATGTATTTTTATGTGCTCATTTCGTAACAATGTGTAAGCATGTGCGTGTGATAAGCAAGTAGATGTGTGTTTGGCGTGCATGTGTGTGCACATGTGTGATAAGCAAGTAGATGTGTGTTTGGCATGCATGTGTGTGCACATGTGTGTGCGTGAGTGTGTGCATGTATGTGTGTAGCGTTCATTAATATTGTTCGTACATGCATTTATGTAAAGCGTCTAGAGCTGTGTTTACACAGGAGTGGGCACTATAGAAATGATCTTCATTATCATTATTATTATTATCATTATCATTATTATAATGGAGCTCTTAGATTTACTTGTGGTCGGAACGGCTTTGGTATTGAAAATGCTATCATATATTACCTGTTGCCCACTGTTCCAAGAAAGATTTGAAAATAAAAGACAAAATTACCGCAATGAATGATGTTAGGTTCAGCCAACTTATTTAGTTGTTTTATTTTCTAAAAGAATAATTCAACAAGTAAACTATTCTAAGTGTCCTCTCTATCTCTCTCTCTCTCTCTCTCTCTCTCTCTCTCTCTCTCTCTCTCTCTCTCTCTCTCAGGAATATGCTCTGATTGGCCTGAATTACTCTTTTTTTTTTGTGTGTGTTTAAAAAAATTTTTTTATTCTGTGCTTTTCAGGGTAAGGTTGTCTGATCCAGTTGGGGAAGAAGTTTACACAGAAAAGTTGCTGAAAAGTAGGACTCCTTACATCACAACTCAGGTAGGTTTTATACTATAAATGTAGTAAATGTTTATTTTTTTATTTTGAAAAATTGATTTCCAATCTCCACCTTTAATAAATGTTTGAAGATGGAGAATTCGCAACTATGAGAAAAGCTGCATTCTCTTTGTGTGAGGGCAGAGAGCTGCTAAATTGATAAATTTTCTTCATTTCTAATAAAGGTGCCAAATCTGCAAGAACAGTCATAAAATTGAACATTAATGATGATGAGCGTAGTATGAAATGAAAGTCGGCTGTAGTTTATCGTATTTTTATTGACTTATATGCTCAATCTGCTCATTGAATGGATATATCACAGCGGGTGGTTCGAGGGTGCCTTGGTAGAGGTCCTACTTCTTTACTTTTCCTCTGTTGTTTTGGTTTGTCGTCTTAATTTTTCCCAGCACTAAATGACCAATAATGTGTGGAAGTTCTCTTTACTCAAACAAACAAACAGGTTGTTACAGGGTGCCACTATAAGTTGCTCTGTTTTTACTCTTCCATCTGGGGTTGGGGTTTTTTTTTTCCCCTGTCTGTTTTGCTCTTTCCTCGGACTAGATAACCATTTTTATGCATATGCATGCCTTTTCTCAAACGAACAAGATTATTAACTTTATTTACATTTTTCATTTAGGTTTCATCCAGTCAAGCGAAGAGGAAGATTGCTGAGTCTTCTCAGACACCCATAGAGTTCCTGGCCAAGTACGATGAACTCAAGGGGAAAAAGTGAGTGTTTTAGTGCTGTTGATACACCAAAGTGGTATTTGCCAAATCTCTGTGTTCTTTTTTTTTTCTTACATGATGGTTTGAATTCAGAAACAAACACTTAGTTTGTTTTTCTCTGAAAAAGTGGAGTAGGCTTTGCTTTATTGAAAAAACTAAGTTTACACCCTGGTTTTGTTGTGTTTTAACTATCTCTCTCTCTTGCCCTTTTTAAATCCCAGTGGAGCATAGGCCATCAACAACATTACCCTAGGGAAGCCTGTCCTGTGCATCCTTTTCTAGCTGTTTCCATGATGTCCCCGCTTTTTAATTTCCGCCTGTACTGCTCACCTTTATGTCATCTTTGGTCTTCCCTTCTTAGTTTTAACTATGTTTATGTAGTTAACATAGAATGTGTTGCCATTGTTGTGAGATATAAGAAATTTTAAGTTTGATTAACAAATTTAGTTAGATAAAATGCTCCCGATATTGCTTATTTTATTACAAGAAATTCTCATATTTTGATATGTTTATGATTTGATATCCTATCTTGAAGACATTTCTGTACTGAAAAAAAAAAGATGGATCGTTGTTTGTTGTTTTAATTTTTTCAGACTGAATTTGTTACTGCTTTTTTGCAAAGATAATGTCATGATGTAGAGGGGGGGGCATCAACATCCTTTTTTTGCAAACTTAATATTGATATCCATTGTTGTGCACTTAGATTGCGAGGTGCATACTTGTGCACACACCTGGTGTAGAGGTAAGGTGTAAGCACAGTACACTGGCCGCTGTAATGTACTGGTTAAACGCTTTGCTGTTGCAAGTCGGAGACCCGAGTTTGATTCCAGAGTGGGGAGAAAATTTTTAATAATAAATAATAATAAATAATAAATAGCATTTGTATAGTGCATATCCCCGCTCAACAGCAGGCTCTATACGCTTTACACTATATTATTACCCCAGCAGACCATAGAACACTCCGAAACATTCTCGGCTTCCCGGGAAGCATACAGTGCAAGCAGCTGATTAAGCGCTCAAACACTAACAAACTGACAAGATCTTTCGCTGTCTATAGCCGGGTACCCATTGCCACCTGGGTGAACTGAGGAAAATTTGTGTAAATTTTATTGAGTATATCAGTCTTTCTTCTGCGATGTATTCCTCTCAGCCTGGATTGGCAAAGTTGGAAGCCTGGGGGTGTAAAAATACCTACATTAAAAAAAGGTTTTTAAACAAAGTAGTATTTTTCAATTAGTGAATGTCACATGTAAGTTACTACTTAAACACGAGTTCAATTTTGATGTTTCAGCGCACGTGACCTGGATCCTTTGGTGTACATGCTCTCCAAGCTGTGTGAGGAGGATCAGGTGTGTTGCTGCTTCTCTGATGTCTTTTATTAAAAATTCTTGGTTTATGTCATCAATTTTAGGTAAATGGTTATATTTCCTGATTTTGTCGCATAGTTCTTTCTTTTGACGTGTGTAAGTCTAATATGCTATTGTTAAAGTTCAAGTCTAGTATTGTTCACCTTTTAGTTTTGTCATTTGGTGGTTTGCGTCATGACTAAATTACTATTTTTCTCTTTTGTTTGATATTTGAAAGGCTTCCGGCGCAAGTTGGAATAGTCAAGGTTGATATACAGGTTTCGTTTCATACATTTTTTTAGATGGGCTGAAGTCTTAAGACATTTCCTGAACAAGAGTAAAATAAAGAAATTCCTTCTTGGTCTGGTCTTTTTGCCAATGCTATAACTTTGATCTTGAGAGGAAGTGAACATTATGTGCCTATTGTTATTCATCTGAACATTTAGTTTTTTTTTATCATATTACATTTGTGTTTCCTAATTGTGAGACAAATGAGAAGGTTTGTATTATGAATTTCAGATTGAGGAAAAATGATACAAATTTTTTGTTTCAGACTAAAGAATTTTTAAAGAAAAATGCTCTTGATAAGGCAAGGAAAGAGGGAATGACCCTGGAGCCCCATAGCAAAGTGACCTCACAGCTGCCAACTTCAGGGGCAAAGCTTACAGAAGAAGAGTTGTCAGAGGTAGGTCAAAGCTATGAAAGTCAGGTGTCTGTGTTTATAGAGAGATTGAATGGAAAATAATGTTGAGATTTACCATTCTTTTCTTTTTGTCCGTCTTTTTCAATTTTCTCAAAACTATAACAAGGAATTGTATTTTAGATGGCATGTAGTAATATTTGATAAACACCTTTTTTATTTCAATAATAGGAGGTGAAAATCCATGTATATGGGAAGTGTTGCAATTGTAGGGGTAGGGGAGTGTTGGCTGTGGTTTAGAGATTGGATGCTTTGACGTGGCATGCAGGAGAACTGAGTTCCATTCTCATATAAGGAGGAATTTTGTTTTGTGTCACGGTCTTTCTGCTGGGATATTGCATTCCTTTCAGCTCATGTTGACCTTTACAAGCACGGTTGAAGCCTGCCTCTTAAATGGTCAAAATTTAATAAATTATGTTGGTGGGGATGTAGAGCCCCTGCATAAAAATAGGGGTTTGGGGGATGTCAATAGTAGCAAAACATTTGATTTTATAATGTTGCCAATTCTGTTTTGACCCTATACGTGGGAAGTCATGTTATGATATGTGAGACATGGTTGTGAAACGAGGCACTCGTTAAAATAATGAAATTGAAGACATCAACATTTTTCGTCTTTATTGGCAATTTTTTTCAATTTTTTTGTTTTGGGGTCAAGGCAGTTTTTGCTCAATTTAAAACACTGTCCTGCATGTGTTTTACTGAAAAATGTTAAGCAAAGGCACAAAAATGTAGATTTGTTGTTTTCAAGGACACTTGATCAACATCTTTCTATTTTTAAAGTTCATTTTACCTCTGACACCACACGACCCGTATCTCCTTCAACTGCAAATATCCTGGATAGATGGGTGGGTTTTTTTTTCACCAAATGGGAGGCAAATGAGCAGGTTTTAAGACTATATCAATAACCCAGTATGCCCAAAAATTTGCAAGTGCCTGATTTCACCATGCTGCGGCACATATGACTATTATATGACTGATCATTATTGTTTTTTTGGAAGAATAACGGCTTGTTATGCGTCTACAACTTTCAGATAAAGGATGCCTTACAGAAGCAAGCCAAGGTGGTAGACACAGCATCTTCTGATTTTCTTAAGAAAGTTTTGAGAGAGAGGCAGGTCACAAGGAAAGGTGAGCAACGCATAAATGTGGAGACCCCTTCTCTGCCATGTATTTCAGGGTGAATCCCGAAAACAGCTTGTAGTTGGGCCATGGATTGGAGCAACTAGCTTTTTTTTCATCTTTTAGGTTTTGGAAGGGGAAAGCAGCAGGTTACGTTATACATTCAGTCTATAATAGAATGAAAGGTTGTTTTTTTCCCCCAGAAATGGTCTTTACTATAATAACAGCAATGTCTGCAGATTTTGAGACAGTTTTTTAGGCTAGCTTTGGTATTATTTTATGTAAACCCGTCCTTTCATAGATATGAAAATGTTTGACAGCTTTGTACTTTTGAGTGTAAAATTGAAAAAAATTCTTTCTTTATCACTTGTAGAGATTTACTTGAGTATACCACAAGTTGAGTGTTCTAGAGTTGAATTCTCTTTAAAATTTCTTTTACTAGCATTTCTGATAGAATTATGTCAAGACTATCAAGTGGTAAAATAGCTAGATTTTGTGGTTGGTGATGATGAATATGACAAGATGTCAGATTGAATAAACTGAAATAATTGTGTTTTTTAACTGCAGTGGTACGTTTTGCCGGTTTGTGTGGGTTACTTATTTGAATGTATTTTGTTTTATTCATTTTCTGTTCAGTGAATATTCCCCAACAACCAGACTGGCTGTTTCAGCGGACACACCTCACTCTGGACTTTATGCCATCAGTGGCCGGTCCGGCTGATGAGGTGAGACTGTCTGTTCTTTTTCTTTTATTGTTCTTTTTTCTCTTTTAATTAAAAAAAAAATTATTTAAAAAAAAATTTTTTAGTTGAAGAGAAGCATATGGTCATGATAATTGTACCGACTAAGGTGTCCTCACAAGAATAATCACAATCAATGGTTGTGAAATCACAAGTCTTCTCCAAAGTATGTTTTGAAATGTCATTAGTAAAGTGCAACAAAAATTCGTTTGCTATTTTTAATTTCACTATCTTTCTGTTGATTGTGATGAGAGTGTGGTTGTATTGCTTGTCATTTTATGTGCTTATTTCCTCCCCAGAACATTATCCCCCTTGGCACGCTGCCAGTGTACTCCCAGGAGCAGGCTGTTCTCTCTGACCTTCTCCTGAATATGGCAGTACGTGCTACCTATGTTTTTTTTGTTGTTGCTTTTCTTGGCATGTGCACAAAGTTTAAATACTATTGGTAAAGACATCACTTTTTTATGCTTCCATGGTCTCATCGGAGATGAATGTTAAATTTGGAGGCCCCGGAAGGGATGTTTAATCCATGCACTTTTTCTTTAATGCCTTTGCAGAATTTTTGTAGTGAGAATATTATCCAAATGAACCAGAGGGCACTTTCTACCTTACTCCAGCGATCCGAATGAAAATCCTCAGTATGTAGTAATATAAATCTAGCAAATGACCTAAAAGAGCTCAGAAGCATAGGTTCAAGGGTCGAGTGCTCAAAAGGGTTAAGTGGAGAATGTTGAAAGGGTTATATCCTTTAGTATTGAATAGAAGTCGAGATATTTACGATTGAAGGAGGTGGAGGTCACCTGGTTTCAGACGTAAAATAAGCGAGAAAATGGCTGCCAAAGTTTGGTGACTTCCATGGCTTGAGAGCCCTTGAAAACTGAAAATTTCTTTTTTGTGGCTTTAACCAAATATTATTATCAGAGCAGACCCCAGAAGGCTCATACACATTCTCAGCTCTCCAGGAAGCATACAGTGCAAGTAGCCTATTAAGCACTCAAGCACTAAAAACTGACTAGATCTTTTGCGGAAGTAATTCAGCCTCTTGTAACTACAGTGATTTATTCAAAAGATATGGAAGAAAACTGTTTGTGAATTTCAGGGACAAGAAGCAAGGTACATCCTGCCGCGTCCTCTCTCAGAAAAGTATGCTGCAAAAGAGTTCCTCATTGATCAAAGTTTGGGTAGGTATCAACTTTATAGAAGTATAGTGCTGCCCCTTTCCTATTAAGCATCTATTGTCCGTATCTCTCCTCCTCCTATTTTGTATTTGCTGCTCCTTTTTAACACTTCTAATTTTCTGCTCTTGTTTTACTCTAATTGCGTTGCAAGTGCCATAAAACTTTTACTAAAACTACAAAGAAAACAAGAAGTATAGTATTTGTATGGATTTTTCTTTTCCTTGTATGAATTTTTCTTTTCCTTGTATGAATTTTCACTCACTGGCATCCTTACAATTTAAGAGTGTTACCGGTGGTTTATACTGCTATTGCTTATCTAACATCCACTGCTGCAACCACGAAAGCCATCACCAGCGCTGCTGTCGTCACAATCACTTCACTGTCATCAACCACCAAAACGTATATCATCAACACTTGTTTGTTTGTGCTTCATCTTGTTTTTCCACACTTGTCGATTTCCAGTGTCTGTCTGTCTGTCTGCCTGTCTGTTTGTCTCCTTCCCCCCCCCCTCTCTCTCTCTCTCTCTCTCTCTCTCTCTCTCTCTCTCTCTCTCTCTCTCTCTCTCTCTCTATCTATCTATCTCTCCAACCCCCCCTCTCCACCTATCTCCCTCTCTCACCATCTCTTCCTCTCAAAGCCTGTATTCTTTTGTACAGTGCCTTTTAGACATAATGTTAGGTTAATTATCATAACAGCTATTGCCTTAAATACATCTGCATGCCGTTCATGTTCTTCTGTGAAAGTTTTGATGCTATAACACCACATCTAATTTTTTTGGTTAGCTGTACATTTGTATCTGCCATATCTGATTTTCATATGTCCTCATTGACATATTATTTCTTTCTCTCACAAATACTCCAGATACATCTGTCCAGGAACTGGTGAAAAGAATTCTGCCATTGTGTACCAACTATTCCACAGTAGTAAGATTCATTGAAGGTAAGGAGGAGTTCAGCTAGGAGTTTTGTAAAGCTAGTATCATTAGCCAAGTCTGTTGCCTAAGGAAATATATCACTATTGGGAAGACAATTCAAAAATGTTCATGAAGATGGAGGGTGCCATTGGTTGGTACTACTTCTCTTTCTCTTGTAATTTGGTCTCTCTGTCTTGCTTTTTACCTGCACGAAATGACAATTATTGGTCAGTGTGGTTTTCTGAACTCAACTCGAATGTGTTCAAGTGAATTACTTTAATTAGATTGTAGAGATGTAAGGCAACCACATTCTTATGTGCTCTTGATGTGTCCCGCCTGCCATTTGGATAAAGTGAAAACTCATTATATTATGTCTTGATTTCTTGTGTTTTTTAAAATAGTTCTGTAAGTTGCAAGCATTTTTTTTAAAAATTCTCCTTCACTCCCAAACTCACTTCCTCACTCCCAAACTCACTTCTCCATGAAAATATAATTTATTTTCCTTGAATGCTATAATGATCTATATGTGTGCTACAGTATTTTAGATTGAATAAACTTTATGGTAAATGTTCAACACATCCCTCCCCTAGCACATGCCACTTTTGAGATTTCAGCTTTCTGTTGATTTAAATTTGTGAATTGATTCAACCCTGATTTGTTGTTGTCCTTCTTTATTCTGAGGACTTTTGAAGCATGCGGTTCCTATTCAGATATAAAATACTAACCTGTAACAACATTTTGGTTTCAGAAAAGTCATCCTTTGAATATGGTTTGGTGAATCATGCTCTCAGCCAAGCCATGGACACTCTTATAAAGGTAGATCAAATAACGTACATACTTGATGCAATAACATTTTAATGTAGAATCTTGAATACATACACTCTGCTAGGTCATATTTCTATATGTCTAAGCATTTGCTGCAGTGTGTGAAATAAGCCTGTGTTCCCACTAGACAATGAAAGACAGTAGTAATGTGTTGTTCGAACAAAAATGTAGAAGTGCAATCAGTTCTTGTAGCATTAAGTTAAAGGAAATGTATGAAATTGTGCTTTTGTAACATCTAAAAATGTTCATTTAATAAGTGAAGACTTGAAAATTGACAGGGTAAAACAAGATGATTAGTGAATGATGAAGTCTTTTTAAAAGGTGAAGGGTTTTGTGGAAAATCATAATTATGATAATCATAAATTGGAAATTTCTGATTCATAACTTTCTGTTTGATTGGTGATTTATTGTTATTGTTAATTGAATGGGAAGTCAAATGTTAGTAATCACCCAGCAGTTGAATAGATATGCAACTTTTAGTTTAAAAGCTCTTAAAATTGATACCTTCATAAATTTCAGCTTTTGATAATACCTGGGTTGTTTTTTTTTCATTGAGCCCTTTAAAATCTTATGTCTCTTTGTTTAACAGGCAAAGGACTTTAAAAGAAATTTAGAATGTTTGTTTGTAAAGATATTTGCTATCTCTGTTAAGACACTGAACTGCTCTTCAATATGCTTGCTTTGCACTAACAAATCTTGTTTCATTTCTGAGAATTTATTTTTTATTGCAGGATTACCTTGTCATGAGAGCACAGTTAGAACAGCAAATGAAACAGGTATGGAGAGAATGCTTTAAAGCAGTTATTTTATCGTCAGTGAAAATATTGTTTAAACTTAATTGATTTTTAAAAAAAAGTATTTGTGGGCTTCTTCTCTATCTTTGTAAATTTTTCTTTGAATTTGTTTATCTATTTGCAGTATTTTTCTTTGACCCTACTGAAATGAAACATTACTGCAATCATGTGCATCTCTCCCATTCTTTAGAAACAGAAAGATTTTTAATAAATTATTTTGACTAATATTTGTTTTGGATTTGATGTAAATTTGATGATTTGATAATGAGCAAGTTTTTGATCTTCTTAGTATTCATAATAGAGTTAATCTATGGCTGACAGTGGCTTCTGGCAAATTTGGAAGAATCTGCTGAATAGCACTGATTACCAGTTAATAACTTGTTACGTAACTATTTATCTCTGGCAAGCTGCAGCAGCTCGCGGTCGCAACTGCTGTGCCGGGCTCATGCACATTCCTTCAAATTACTTGCGAAAACAGGTCTCTATTATCAGGATTTTATTCATTAGTTGACGAACTATCGAAATAGGTTCACTTGTTTTGATTTAATGACCAATTTAGTGGCGTTTTTGTCATTTTTAGATTTTGTACTTAAAAGGGGCCTCGGCATAGTGGGAGATAAAGAGTTAAAGACTAAGATGCTTATGCCACATCTGAACCTTGGCAAAATTTTAAAGGTCATTTTGAGATTTGTTTAGTGCCATCTTTCGTTATTTCTCTGTCATCACTTTTTTTACAATGTCTAGTTTCTCTTTTGCATTTTTCTGTAGTACTCATTTTTTATTAATTTGTTCCTAAAACTTTTGTTTTTCTTGAATTACAGAAATGAGGAAAATGTACTTACTTTAATTTCTGTCGTTAAAAGAAAAGAAATGTGTCACGACCCTGTGGAATAAGGTGTTTGTCAATTTTTGGCTTGTGGAGTAACTGGTATCATCTTAAAGCCTGTTCATTTGCCTTGTTTTCAATGAAAAAATTCCCATCTATTTTGAATAGAAGTCAAGAAATTTGCAATTGAAGAAGGTGGTGGTCATCCGGTTTCGGGGGTAAAGTTAGTGAGAAAATGGCCGCCAAAATCTGGTAACTTCAATAGCTTGAGTCTTTGAAAACTGAAAATTTACATATTTTGTGGCTTTAATCGTTTTTCCGTCAAATTCACACAGAAATGAGTTGTTATACAGACATAAGAGGTGTTGAGCCAAAAAGCAAAAGTTTAATTGCCAAACTGGCAGAAAAAAGCCTATTTCTTCAATTTCATTATTTTGACGAGCGCCTGATTTCAACACATTGCCTCACAAATATTTTTGTTCACTGCTGTTTTTGTGATGAATTTGTTAATAAAACTTTTCTCTTGAATTACACAACTAAGGAAAATTAACTTATTTTATCTCTTTTGACAAACGGTTTGTTCATTACTGTTTATTTGCTCCTGTGCTTATAGGGACAACTGACTCTCCAAAAACTGTGCTTTTATCTGCAACCGACCATGAGGATTCTGGAAATTTTGGCTTCTGTGGCAAATTCCATCAACAGAGTAAGTTATATTACGTAGCTCGTACTTGTAATGAAGGGGAGAATCTTGTAGATTGAACATGCAGGGAGAGGCCTTAGTCATCTGTTTCTTGTATGATTTAGTAACTTGTGCATTGGTTTGGTTTGTTTTTTAATTGAAAAATAAATGAGCATGAAATGAGATCAATGTTTTGGGAAATTGTGATAATTTTTAAAAAACCTGATTTGGATGCTCAAATTCTGTTTCATTGGTCTTTTTTTCTATTGCCAATCTTGTGTTTCGTCAAATTTTGATCTTTCAGAAACCAGCAATGAATTGTTATTTGTGCCATAGAAATGACTAGATGTTTGTTGTGAGTGTGACTCACTACATTGTGATTGAAACAGTTTTGGATGCACAGCTCTCTCTTTCTGAAGCCAATGAAAGCTTTAAGTTCTCACCTCACCAGGACCATGAGTGGGGGAGCTGCATGGTGCTATGTGTAATTTAAAAAATATATTGTCATTGAAAATGTTCCTTTTTAAGGGCAAGTGCATCGGTGGAGCAGTCTTGAGTCTTCTACATGAGAAAACGGCTTCGATGATTGGGTAAGAAGAATCTTTTTTCTTTTCTGCTTGTGAATGTTTCGTTGGAAGCTGAGAACATTTTTTAGCAAGTGGTTGGAGGGTGCCACTGGTAGGTCTGTCTTCTTTTCTTTTCCTCTTCTGTTTTTGTCTATCTGTCTTGCATCTTCACTGGACTATATAACTGTCATTGCGTTGATGTTCTCTTTACTCGAACTCTGAGAATGTCTCAGAATGTAATATAATGGTGAGTACCTTGATCCTTCTTTTATGCAGGGGTATATTACTTTAAATTATTATTACTATCATTATTGCTATACTGGTAAATGCTTTTAAGTACCCTTTCTTCAGCTAAAGCAGAGAAAAGTGTTTAGTGATTTTGAACTCTGATCTGAATGCTAAGAGAGATTCGGGTCCTAAGCTTTAAACTGTGACCTGAGTTTCATGGCATTCTGAGTTAAATTTGGCTTCTCTCATGTTTTTTCTCTAAGTTCTTTAATTAGACTTCAGGGGCCATTCTTCACATGTGCCATTTGCTCTAATTGCTTGTTTACTCTATTGCTTTCATATTTTGAATAAGAATATTAATCTTGTGCTCTATGTTTTCTTTTCTTCTTCCATTTTTCCAGGGACAACAAGAGTGCAGAGCTGTGCTTGTATCTCACTCAGAGTGTGAGTTGTTGATCTCTTTTTCCTAAAAGAATACTTGTATTTGGGCGTGTAGGTTTTTGCAGAGAGCAGCAGAATGCTCGTTTGATTTGCAGCAACATAGACAAAGCCTATTAACTCATTCGCTACGTATTATTTTCGGCTTATGGATGAATTTTTTTTCGGGAGGGGGAATGAGATGATGACTAGTGGGCAGTTAAAAGGTCTTTGGGGGCCACAATTCAAATAAATATCAACGTATTATATACCAATATTTTCAGTATGGTTTGTAGAATACATCTGTAATGTTTATTTATGTATTTTTCAACTTTGGTTCCTGTAAGAGATGATTATGCAACACAATTTTGATTTGATTCGGATAAAATTTGGAAATAAAAAATTGATAATCGTTGGTGAAACTCAAAAAATATGTTTGCATCTAGTCAAATGATACATCAAAATAACCATAAATGAATATAGAACTGGAAAAATATTGAAAAGTTTGCAGTTATTTACCTACATTCCATAATATTTGTACATTTTGAATATAACATCTGATAGTGAAAAAAAACAAAACATTTTTATAATTTTGGAAAACGATCACAAACAGAAAAAAACCCACTCGTATCATACATGGAATTATTCAGAATTGCTTTTGGAATAAACCTATATATGTCTTGAGTGGCACTTTTTGTGTAATTTCATCAAAAAGTAGTGATTTTGGGGAGAAAAAAATGCTTTGACAATTTAGATCTAGCCTTAGATCTAGCACTCAAAAATATTGATTTCTCAATAACAGTGCATTGGCAATATGAGTCCAATCGTATCAATATTATAAAAAAGAGTCCTACATTTCTTTATTGGGCAAAATAATGATAGATTTTGTTGTGTAAAATTACTAAGACTGGTGTCGGGGCTATAATTTTGGCATCGCCATAAAACAAAGTCGAATAAACTACGAAATGGCGTTTCAAAACTGAATTTAAATTTCCAATTTTCAGTGGAAATGCTTGACCCGGAAGTCAACATTATATTACGACCTTTATTTTAACATGGATATGTGGATTGGAATAGAATCTACGCTAAAATTGAAGATCGGTTCTCGAGCCGCCAGGGGTGGCTTAGCGTACTGACGGCACTTTAGCCGCGCCGCCCCCCACGGCTCGGTGTAGCGAATGAGTTAACACAGTGTTGTTTCTAGATTCTAAGTGAAGACCACTCCTGCCATTTCTGTTTCTTGTTAAATGTAGTGGTTAGTACACTGACTCATCAGAATTTTTTATACAGAAGTATAGATGAAATGTGGGTGTTTTTATTCTGATGTTAGATGGGCCTTGATAAGAAATACTTCCTTGCACTGTGTTCTGAGGTCATTGAACCCCCTCTCTTACTTTTATGTGAAAAAGGGCACTCCCCCCCTACAATTCACACACCCATCTACCCACAGTCCCAGACATGCATATGTACATTTTGGCTGACTTACTACAGTCAAACCTGCCATGACGGCCACCAGTATAATATGGCCACCTGTACAAACGGCCACTTTCCATTTCCCCCTTGCGTTTTTTCTATATAATTTAACTGTGTAAAACGGTCACCTATGTAACTGAAATAGGACAAATTGGGGACTCTACAAATACTTGTCTAGAACAAAAACTAAGGCACAGAAATTAACCATTCCAATGCAAAATAAATCTCAAGATATTGAGCTTTTAGCACATCAGTGTAATGGTTTACTGTGTGGGATGGGGAAGAAGTTATATCGTTTCAAACATAGACAAAAATGCGAACTTTTTAACGGACACCGGCAAAGTTGCTTCTGGGCTCATTAACCCTGTGACCCTGAGCTGGGGAGCTCCGGTGGGCTGCTGAGTCACGCTAACTAAAAGTAACAGAATCAGGCAAAAAGTGACGCTGTGCTGTGTTATACGGCCACTTTTTCTTTTCTCCTTGACAATGGTTGGCTATTTTACACTGGTTTGATACTGTTATGTTTTTAGATATATCTTTTTAAAAAAAAGTCAAACTGTAACTTATGTTTTTGTGGTCTGAGTTTTTGTAGTTGGCTCAGACATTGAATTTGTGTGCAGATAAAGATAAGTTTCATTTCGTGAAAAAAAATCTGTTTATTGCTGTCACTGAAATTACTGTTTAGATTGGAATACAATTCAGAAAACTTGACTTTAAGAAGAAATTTTGGAGTTGCAATATTTTATCTTACAGGCTTGTGTCCCCTACATGGAGATACTGGAAAAGTGGATTTATGGTGGAATAATCAAAGACCCCTTTTCAGAGGTTTGTATACCTATTATTTATATTGACTGCTTATTGTAAGATAGAAGGTGCGGTGGCGGAGTGGTTAGTGCGCTCGTCTCCGAAGCAGAAATTCCGGGTTCGAGCCTCGGTTCGGACACAAATTTTTTCTGCCCCCTCTTGCCCACCCAGCAGTAATGGGTACCTGACTTAGAGTTGGGAAAGTAAAGGCAGCCTGGAAAAGAACTGGCGACCCTACCACAATATGCCCAAGGCCCAGGAAGTTGTCTCACTAACAAGGCAATCTCCAATGTCTGCATCGGATGCGGGAACAACTTTACTTCATTGTAAGACTCCGCCTTGCACCATTTTAAAGTGACATGTGACAGAGTCTTACACTTGATCAGCTTTCTGCCTTTAGGCTGTGCTATTTTACAAATAATATGAAATTGTAGGAGAGCATAAAAAAAAAATCTCAGTCTATTTAAAAGTCTCTTTTATTCTATTTACTATTTTATATAGGAGACACTAGTTTACAGAGTTTATATTTCTATTTATTGTTTTCTCACAAACTTCTATTGTTTTAATTGTTTTTTACTTGCAATGCTATTACTTTTCAGACTTAAAAAAACCCTTTTGTATAATGAGGGACTTCGAACTGAACACAAATTCAATTCAGAATTAGAGTTCCATTTTATTGTTACCTTTTGTGTGAATGATGTCTGATTGTATGCACTGTTAGCCATAATACACTAATGTTACCCTGTCTTTTTTTCTTTTCTGATCAGTTCCTTGTGGAGGAAAATGAAACAATTCAGAAGGAAAAGCTGCAAGAGGACTACAATGATGCATATCCTTTTGTTTGTTGCTTTTATGTAACAGTTTTTTTACTTTGCTTGTATGCTTTCATTATTTGGGCGATCCAGATCCATTTTTGTGTGCTGTATTGAGGGTATAGTATGCTACTTTCCCAGAAGTCAATTTCACATGCTTCGGATTTCAAGCACAAAATGTTTGAGCATTTTTACCCCTGGCTCCTTCTTACTGCTGTCTCTCAGCCAGAGCTCTGATCCTAGGGTAGGTAAGATCATTACTATCATTATGGACATAACTCTGTAGGATTACCAATAACGGTAAAACTACTGTTTTGGGGAAAGTTTAACTTTCAGTAGCAAAGGTATTCCTTCTGGGGGTTGTAGTTGTTATTGTTTTTCTTCTTCTCCAAGTCCCAGATTTTAAACCCATAAACGATCATGGTTCGCATCAGCTTAGATGCTCTTTAAAAAATGTATGATTCAGGTGTTTTCTGGTCTCGTATCTGTTCAGTTTCTCTAATTATGTTATTCTTTTTCTACCATAGTCTGTTTTTCCAGTGTGGAGAAGATAATCAGGGCATTTATGTTGATTCAATTGTCGTAAGAACTGCATTTGTCTCTTCCTTATAGTTTTTGTTCGAGAGCTTCCCACGCTGGCGTTTTTCACCACTACCCTGTCTGATTTCTTTTTTTTCCGATGAAATTCTCAACCTTCTCCTTAGAAACCACATTTTGCTTATACAAATGATTTTTGCTATCTCTTTTTATTTGGATTATTTTCCTTAACTTTTCAAACTTACTGGGAGAAACACTACTCTGTTTTTCAAGAGAGGATTCCTGTCTTTCTTGAGCAAGTTGCAGACAAAATTCTCAACACTGGGAAGTACTTGAACGTGGTGCGGCAGTGTGGTGAGTGAACCAATGTGTTGAAATTCTTTTCTGTTATCACTTGTTTCTAAGCTCAGATACAGTTGAATGTTTGCAAGTTGAGTGACTTTGAATTTTGAAGGGCAGTTTGTTCTGTTCTTGGTACAAGACTGATTTCCGTACGATTACAGTTAGCGTTGTTGCATGTCTGTTTATTATGTTGACTCAGTACCTAGATCCTCATTCATGATTGTAGCAACAAAAATCCATTGTTGTATTTGTAATCAATTCTGGAGGCAATGTTCTCTAGTATCTACTCCAATCGTTATGTATTTGTGTGTTTTTGACCATAATGTAGCTTAAAAAACTGTTTTCTGTTGTCTTTTGTTGTACTTGTGTTTTGTTTTTATTTTTGTTTATTTAAACAGTTTTCTTTTGCTCATATTTTTCTCTGACATTACAATCAGAATATGTAGATACTCACTTTTGTTTATGCACCTATATATTTTTAGGCTTTTTTCTCCTGCAGGTCGTAACGTCAAATGCCCTTTTGCAGAGGAACTGGTTTACACTGTGAAAGAGAGGAGATACTATGATCAGATCGAGAGAGCCTACAGCTATGCCAGTCAGTTGTTACTTACTCTTTTGATTGAGGAGAAGGAGCTGATGGCTCGACTCAGGTGTGTATACTGAGGTCTTGTGATGTGACCGCAAACTGAGTCAGAGTCTTGGTGTATAAATGTTGTGGAGATTTTTTCTTACCTAAAAAGCATCCTAATTTGTAAAGGAAAGCAGATTTTTTCCATGTTAATCTATGGTAATCGTTTTAGCCATTTATAGAGATTAGCTCTCGCTCTCTCTTTCACTCGCTCTCTCTTTCACTCTCTATCTCACTCGCTCTATCTCTATCTCTCTCTTTCTCTCCCTCTCCCTCCCCTCTCCCGCTCCCTCTACCTCCATTTTGCTCCTCAACAACTCCTGACACCAGAGCTAGGATTCCTATGTATGTACAGTCTTTGCTGCGAATGTCCATCGACAGGTCCATCAAGCATTACTTCTTACTGGACAAGGGTGACTTCATTGTCCAGTTCATGGACTGGACGGAGGACGAGATGAAGCAGCATATCGACGACATTCACCCGTCCAGGCTGGAGTCTCTCCTGGAGCTGACCCTTAGGACCAGCACGGCCAATGTTGACCCTTTTAAGGATGACCTCAGAGTGGATTTATTGCCCTTTGACCTGACTTCTCAGCTGCTCCAGATTCTTGCCATTGATTCAAAACAAGAAAAAGGTCAGGGGTTAATGCAACACTGTTTCGATTTTTAGACACAGGTCACAATTTTTTTTCCGTTTCCGTTTATTTATGATTTTTATTTATTCATTCATTTATTTTCTTTCTTCCTTTTTTACAATTTTTTTTTTTTTGGGGTGATAGAGGGTAATTTTTTTAGTTCACTTTTAAGAAGTGATGAAGATTAGGTTCAGGAGCAAAAGATTGTCATAGTTTTTGGACATTTGTAATTAACTTGCAACTTTTAGTCCGATAATCTAATTTCAGAACAATGCTTGGGGACAGTACTTTTTGGCCATCTGTATCTGCGTTCTGATATATTTATTTGACTAGCTCTACTTTGCCTTCTCTATGACCTATTAGTTTCAGCACCTGACTTTGTTCAGTCTTATGTGTTTCAATATACTTGTCCAAGATAAAACAATTTTTTCCTCTACAGAATATCGCATTGATCCCACCGACATCCGGCTGTCTGGGTTAGAGTCATTCTCCTTTGATTATGTTGTGAAGTGGCCGACATCCCTTGTCATCAGTAGAAAGGTAAGTTGGGTATTGCTGGCTTGGTGCATTCCATGTCAGAGGCATTTCCACAGTTTTGCCACAGTGTTTTTAAATTAGTTCACTTATTTTGGGTAGGCGTAAAAAAAAATGAGAAAAGGAGGAGGAATAGTGAAGTTACCTAAAAAAAGTAGTGAATAATGGACAGAGCAAATGTTGCCTGTTAACATATAAAACGTCCATGAGGAGAAAAGGACCTAATCTCATTTCAACCTCAGTTATGATGTTGTTATACGTTATATCGAGGGCGGCCAAGTAAACTATGGTAAATCATGTTTTTCAAATTTTACAGGAGCGACAAAAAACGGATTTTCTTGAAGTGTTTTAGGTGGACAAACTTCATTTTCTTAAAGGAGGCTACAAATGCCATGACAGACAGGCTTCCTTATGAAAGTGAAGTTTATCCGCCCAAAACGCTTTGAGAAAATCCGGGTTTTTTTGTCTCGCCTGTACAATTTGAAAAACATGACTTACTATATAGTTTATTTGGCGGCCCTTGAATATGTAGACAATGGTGGTAATACAAGTGGTCCACATGTAGATGGTTCGCATAGAAGAACCAAAGGCTTATCTGATAATGGATAAGGGATTATCTGTGTATCCTGAGAAGTGGCTCTTTTCCTGCTTTCATTATCGTAAACATTTCTTTAAAAAAATTATTTCTTACATTTTTGTTTCTTTTGTTCGGCTGAGTATAATCTTCTTGATTGTCATTTCCTTTTTTTGTGTGTGTGTTAAGTAAAAAGTTTGTAAAAATCTGTTGTTTTAAAAAATTAGTTTTACAATACTGCCGTTGACATTTACATTTTGATTTTACTGTGTAATATTAATCTAAAGGGATTGTTTTCAGGATTCAGAATATTTTTGTACAGAAAATTTAGCATTATTTAAGCCTAATTCTTGGATCTGATTAAATTAAATGTGGACTTTGCACATTCTTTTTTTTAAGGATAAAGTTTGCTGTCTGCAGTGCTAGTACAACTTCTGTATAGATGTGAGCCTAGTAATAGATTTATTATTTCAAGAAATGTGTAAAAATAGTTCTGTTGTGGGATAGGATTTCATCCCGTAACAAATGTGCAGGAATAATGAATGATGATTTGTGAAGTTGAGTATACAGACATTGAGTTTTTTGTTGAATTTTTCTCAGGCTCTGACAAGATACCAGATATTATTCCGGCATTTGTTTTACTGCAAGCATGTTGAACGCCAACTTTGCAAGTAAGTAATGATAGTGGTACAACATAAATTCTTTTTCTTTTTTGATGGTATTTTGATGTTGAGGTACCCTGTTTTTCACTTCCCTGAAGTGTTTTCAAATTTGAATAATAACCATCACACTCAAATTTGTTATTAATGGTCTGTCTACTCTTCTAGTTTGCTTGCAGTTTTCGTAGATGGTTTTTGGTATCCTATATCTCGCTGTCTCATGCACTTGCTATTGTGAAGTAGTCAATCTTCTTTGTGTGCACTATTCCTTGAAATATATATTTCATGCACTTGTTGCATACATACACGCTTTGTGTGAATTGTAGTAAGACAAATCTCTTTTTTGTTTGTACATGGCTTCATTTCAAAATGGTGTTTATAGTTGGACTAATTTGCACTTTCCCCTGTTGCATGCATTTGTATATTTTATGCTTAGCTTGGGAACTTCTGGAAGATTTGTGTTTTTGTTGGGCTCTTGTGTGGACATTTTGCAGATTATGTATCTATATTATTGCCTTTTGCCATTCTTTTTTTATTATTTTTTTAATTTCTTTATCTTCTCAAATTATTCATTTTCCTTTTAGTCATGTACACTCTTTTTGTTTTTCGGTTGAAGATGCAGAAAACATGTTTATCTTGCATAATATGAAGTTGATTGTTTTGCTCTAGGCTTCAGACACATGTAAAAGGGTAAGATTCTTTGGCCTGATGATTACAAGACATAACCGTTTCACTCCCCCTTTTTACCATAACTGAGTCTATGTATAAGAGTCTACTTGGTTCACATCTTTTGTGTAGGTTAGTTTTGTTAGCAAATGGACAAGAAAATCATTTACTACTTTTTCTCCGTAGCTTCAAGTTCTGACCATCCTTTCCATTATCATCCCAGAATATAGTCAGCCAGCTGTTCAGATGTACTAAGCCCAAAATTTTGAAAACATTTTTTATTGCAATTTCTTTATCTGTGGTATTGGTTACATATGCTAGAGAAATATTTTGCTGAAATCCAAATTCTAAATATTGAAGAAAAAAAAAAGAAGATACGTAATGTGGTTACAATTTCTAAGAGAATGAAAGAGTTGTTTTTTTCTCTCTCTTGAAAACTTTTGCTTTCTGGATTTAGTACATGTGAATAGCTTGCAGACAATATGTAAGCTTTGTTTTTCACAACCATTTAGACTTAAAAGGGTCACTAAGTTATGGATATAGTATCATTTTAAAAAATGTGGGATGTGAAAATGTTTTGTTTTGGCCAGTGTTGATTTTTAACTTTTGTTCAGAAATGTCATTCATTGATGTGTTTTACATTCACAAGTGTCTGAACAATAGGTCAGATGACATGCAGTCTTGTTTTAAAGAGCCTAATAATGGAAAATGTATGCTTCCTAGAAAGTTAAGATTGTTTTAAAATGGTATCAAGAATGCTGGGGTAATACTATAGATTGTAAAGTCCATTGAGCTTGCTGTTGAGCAAGCATTTATGCTGTACAAGTGCTATTTATCATTTATTAACTCTGGCTGTTAATCAGGGTTTTCAGTTCTCTAATAGCTTTAGGTTGGTGTTTGTGGATTTGGGATAGAAAAATATTTCCCACTTCTCCCACGTTTGAATTAATACATGTAGTTCCTTTGATAGGCATCCCAGTCTCATAAGCTTAATCATAGACATGATTTGATCAAAGAGGCATAACTCCTCATCTCTCTGTGACCATATTTTCTAACTCATCTATGTAATCCCTCTTTTTCTTCACAATGTATATTATGTATTACTTTCTTGCACTCAAAAGTAGCATTAAAATGATAGGAATGTCTTCAGCATTTCTTTTGATTTCCGAAGACTTATTTTAGTTGTTTTTTTCAGTTCATAGGTATGAGCACTTTTGACGCTTAGAGTCTTTTGTATTTAATGTGACAGCGTGTAATAATTTCCGAAATAGGTGGTCTTTTCTTTTCTCTTGGTATTTAACCACGTCCTCATATTATTTTGAGAATATTGTGTTATTTTCATTTTATTTGTTTCACATGTTCTTGCTTTTGTCATTTTTTTCCCTCATTTCCCTCTTTCATTTAAGTTTTTTTTTTTAATTGTGCCATAGATTTTTATTTTTTTTACATTCAAAGGAAGTAGTAAAACTATGAACCTCTTTGTTATTTACTCATACTGGGCAGAACTTGGACTGGTTTTGTGATGAGGCTGTTGGGTAAAAAATGTTTTGTTGGAGGGGATTTGGCCATATTTAGAATATTTTCTTTAGCGTTTAGCAGCCTCCTAAGTAGTTTCTCTGAGAAGTAGGCCTACATATTGTTGTCACGAAAAATGAGTCCCTCTAAAGTTTTTTACTTGTCCTTTACAGAGGGTAGGATTGAATTATTAATTTTCCTTTCTGTTGACGAAGACGATGTTTAGTTTGAATGTTGGAATTTTTCAAATTTGACATATTGCTAATTCACTGAAATGAACCGGCTGCTTCTGATTGATTGTCTTAGACTGTACCATATAAGTCTAAGATTTCTGTATTTCCCAAGTCCTCAAATAGAAATTACTTCCATTTTCTATATCTCCTGAGAAAATAAAAAGTTTTCTAATGCATTCTGATTTAAAGATTTCCTCAGGAGAGATAGAAAATGGAAGTAGTTTCAAGTCACTTTGTTGACTACCCCCACTGTTGTTATGAGATTATGAGGAACATAAAACCTGAACTTTGTTTTAATTGAATGCTTTAAGGATCTGTTTATGTTATACCCATAACAGTGTAACTGTGTAAATAATCTGCTACAGAGTTTTGAACTACATGTTTGAAGCTTTGTTTATTAGACTTTGATTGGGACAAGCTGAGCAAAATGTTGGCTTGGTCAACTGGATTTGTCCTAAATGAAAGTACTTCAGAAAAATCATGTTTGTTGGATTGATCCTGGATAAGTTTACTTTAAGTATAATTTTTTTTTTTATTTGTCATGAAAGGAATTTGATGGCTTACTTTTCTGTTTTTGACATGCCATCCGTCATTCTTCAAGACACTTCAAAACAGTTTTTCAAAATGTTGTTTGAAGACAGTTTTACATTGCTGCTCCTTTGCTCTTTGTGTGGTCTTGGATACCTTTAAAAAATGACTTTGCTGTGCAGTTTGTGGTTGGACAACAAAGCGATCATCATCTATGCCATATTCATAACTAAAGCATATAAAAACATAGTTTACCTTTCTTTAAGTTGGTTCTCGTAAGCAACGACAAAGAAATTCAGATCTACACATTTCTGGTGGCTAATCCATATTCAAAACACCATGTCTTGTTGTATGTGAGTAAGCAGCAAAGAGACCCGAGATTAATGCCATACTTTCAGCTAATTCATATTCACCTTTTCATACTTTGGCGCACAGTGTGTGGATGGGCAACAAACAGACCAAGATCTACGCCCTGAGCAAGTCACGCTGGTACTCGGCCGCCTTCGCCCTGCGTCAGAGGATGCTCAACTTTGTGCAGAACTTTGAGTACTACATGATGTTTGAGGTCATTGAACCCAACTGGCACAGCTTCCAGCAGAACATGTCCAAGGTTTGAACAGCAGTAGTGTTTCCTTTAATTTAATTTTAAAAAGAAAACAAATAATTTTGGAAAGGGGGGGGAGGTAGGTTTTTGTCTACTTTCCAAACTGTGTTGCGGTGCTGCAGGCTAGTCTGTTTCAGGTTTGTGTCTGACTAATACTGGCACCTGTTTTGTACAATAAAGTGCATCGACATGATAGTGGCCTTTTAGTGCCGCGAAAAGGCAAGAAAGAAATAACAGAGAAGGAAAACAAGTTTTTGCTGTACCAGTGGCGCTCTCCAACCAAGTGGGAGCGAGATGTTCTTTATGCTGGTAACGTGAATTCTCATTTTAAAGTTTGTTTGTGCCTGTGGTTTTGAAATAAATCTCACGACACTGTTTTCGTTTGACCATTTTACTGAATTATCCCCCTCCCCCCTATTTTTTGTCAATTTTTTCGTCCTCTTTATAGTGGGGGGCATTTGTTCCTTTTGTAGAGATGATAACTTTCAACACAATTATTTAATATTTTCTAAATTCGTCTATGTGTAAACATCATTAATTGTTTTAAAGCTCCTTCAAAAGAGAGCTTTCCTTTTGGTTGTGTTCTTCATTTTCTAATCTGATTGATAATAGAATCCTTTTACAATTTATTATCACCCAATAAACTTTACAGCATTCTAAAACATTTTCAGATTCCTAACATAGATTATCCTGAGCTATTTGTTGAGGATGTCTCTCTTTTGTTTCCCCAGGTGTCCAATGTGGACGATGTTCTGGCCTTTCACAGTGACTTCCTGGACTCCTGTTTGAAAGACTGCATGCTTACCTCAACAGAGTTGCTGAGGATTGTGCATAAACTTCTGGTTGTTTGTGTCACGTTTTCTAATTATGTCCAGGTAGTCGACTCCATATTATAAGACTGTCGAATATATATATGAGGGGGTGAGATGCAAAACCTGCTAAGCGATATTTTTGGGGGAAAATAGAGATTTTTTTGCTTATAAATGCGCATTGTTACCGGCTATCAGAATCATAAAGTGTTTTCAGCCATACGTTTCTGTTCTAATATCTAATAATAAAAATTTAAAGAATAATATATTTTTGATGAAATGTGTCTGTCATCTACCTAGCTCACTCATTTTCTCCAACAGCAAACAAATTTTCCAGGTCTTCATTGTCTCTTTACTTGTATTAATACTACGGTTTCATTTTCTGCTAAAGCGGTAAACAAACACCTCTGTTTTGGTATTTTGGAACAAAGTCAAAGGGAATGATTCTGTCTATATCAAATACAGTGTTGAAGAATTATGTCTTACATTTTCTTTGTTGACTTTCATATTGCCTTTTTTTTCCTCCCCAGCGTGTGAGTGCAACGACAACTGTTGAGGCAGAGACGGAGCGACTGAGGGACAGCTCTCTGCAGTCTTCCTTGAGTAACAAGGAGAGGAAGGTTGATGCACAAAAGAAAAGGACGGCCACAAAGGTACTCACAAAAGTGAAATTGTGTGGTTATGCTTTTTTTAGTGGATTCTTTGGCTCCCATCATTAGTTTGATCTGAATATCACTGTGGAAGCAAAAGGCAAGATAGACCATTTGTGAAGCCTTGTGGTGAAATCAGGCGCTTGACAAAATAATGAAATCAAAGAAACTGGCATTTTTCTGGCCATTGAGCAAATGAAAAAAATTTTTTTGTTTTGTTTCAACACCTTATGTCCATTTAAAACACATTTCTGTGTAGATCATGCTGAAAGACGTTTATTAATAGCACAAAAAATGTGAGCTTTCAGTTTCCAAGGACTCTCAAACTATATAAGTTACTACTTTGGCAGCCATTTCCTCGATAATTTTACCTCTGAAACCAGTTGACCCCCACCTTCTTCCGTCGGAATTATTTTGACTTTTATTGAAGATAGATGGACGTTTTTTTAATCGAATGTAAGACAAATGAACAAGCTTTAACATAACACCATGAACCCCTCATGCCCAAAAATTGACAAGCGCCTGATTCCACTGCGTCATGCCACCCTGAGTCAACTTTATTTTTGTCATTGTAATTTGAATTCCTGCAAACTGTTCACTCATCTTTTCATTGGTATTGAATTTTATTTATATGTAGACGCTTACATTCATTGTTACCACAATATTTTTTTCCATTTTTTTTACATCCACTCCCCCCTTCCCCAGTTAATGTTTAATTGTCTTGAATTTTTTTTTGGTATGATGAGTGCATACTTGATTATATTCTGATAATTTTGAGCACCCTTGTCCCTGCTGTGCTGATTTCTTTTTACATACTTCTTCAAGGTTGTGATGGAGCACGTAGACCAAGTGTTGGCCGATGAGAACTTTGAGCAGACAATCATGACTTTTGACAACAACTTTTCACGGCACTTGCTGGAACTTTTGGACAAAATCATGGACGAAAATACAAAAACCTATGACCACAAACATTTCAATATCATATACAGGTACTTTCTTTGACTTTGCCTTATAATGTGTTTTTGTTTTTGCACCAATGATACACTGTCTTTCTCATTTACTTAAATCCAATGCTGTGAAATGATATTTTGTCTTAACGATCAGTATGGAAAAGTTAAAACAATTCAATAGCCCAAGTTTATATTGAAAGTCTGTCTGAGATTTTAGTTCTGAAGTTACAGTTGTCAGAAAAATATTTATATAAAAGCTTTCTTAGTATGGGCCAGCTATGTTGTCATGAATGAAAGCATCATGTGAAACGCTTTCATTCATGACAGGTAGAATTATACAATTTATCTACTTACAAAAGGCGAGAGTGGTGGATATACAGTTGAACCTGCTTTAACGACCACTGGTCTATTTAGTCACCTGTACAAATGACCACTGCCCACTTCCCCCCTTGTGTTTTATTTATATTGTAATGACTCTCTCTGAGAGGACCACCTGTCTAAGATGACCACAATGGTGGTTGTCTTAGACAGGTTCAACTATTGGTATCTTTGACCATGCAAACCTTAGTGTATGCCTCAGCAGGCTCCACCATTACCTTTCTGTACACTGAATGCACGTCTCAGCATGAGATGGTGTAAGTCTGACAGTTTTTTCCCTGAGGAGCTGAAGTGAAAGGATCCTGCTGTAGACTAGGTAGATAAAAGTTCATAAGGTTGAATCAGTTACAGTTTTGTAACATTTAAGTACTGTCAAACCTGCTCTAACATCCACCTATTCCAGACAACCAGCTGTACACACAGCTACTTCCCACGTCCCCCCTTGTGTACTTTCATATTATAATGACAAGGTCCAAAACCTCCCCCTGTCTCGGACAACCACTTCTCTTCTTTACAATGGGTGGTCTGGTGGACAATTTTGACTTTACTAGTACAGTCCATGCCGGCTTTAAGCACGGTCGTCGGGAGAAAGCTTAAGCGTGCTTAAAGCCGAAGCGTGCTTGAGTGCGAAGTACACATAATCCAGAGATTTTCATGTAGAAAATTTCCTGTGCTATTTCCCTTTGTTTGTAAGTAGGCCTATAGCGGTCCCGCAAAAGTGTGCACTGTTATTTAGACACCCGCCATGGTAGTTTTTGTTCGCTTGTTTGTTTTTGTTTTGTGGTCGAATGGGAAATGAAAACTTAATTTAGACGGCCAGTCACGATACAGCACACTAGGCCTACACACTGCCTGTGCGTACCACTGCCCGCTGTGCCACTCATACCACCGCCTTCATCCCACCTCGCGCGTGATACACAATCAGGATTAATGGATAGCGAGGGTCATAGGTGAAATCGCAGCCAGCCTCCCTTTCTCGTCTCCCCGACTCTCTTTGTATTTTTTTTGGTCGTGTGTAGCTTTGCCCTAGGCCTAGGCTAGATCCTATGTCCGCGCGCGCGGCTGTGTGCATCTGCCTTCCTCTCCGCCCGTGTGAGTGTGTGTGTCCATCACTTGCGTTCTTTGTATTTCTCTTGACACACTCCTCTGCTGCGGTGTAGACTGTGTTCGAACTTCAATGGGTCATCATGAAAATATTGACTGTCATGTAAATAAAGCGTGCCCGAAGCCGAAGTTACCGTGCTTAAAGGCGTGTAATTTATATAGCAAAAATTCGGTAAGAGCCGTTTAGCGTGCTTGAGTCCAAAACGTGCTTTATGCCGGCGTGCTTAAAGCCGGCACGGACTGTACTACTAACGATGTTGTTTGTTAAAACTGTTTACCACCTTCTCGGTAACGATAGATTTGGTTGGATTTTTCCAAATTGTATACTGGTCTTTGTTGAGGGGCTCTTTTCATCTTGAGAGATGCCATAGTGTAAATAACTCACTTCTTAGCATTGCTGTCATGATAAAAATGCTTAACTTCATTTTATATTGCTTTATGTGACCAAAAAATATTGGACTCTTTCGTTTTTGTTATTACTATGATGATTCGTCTTTACACTTTTCGGCCGTCTTCCACTCTAAATTTCTCTCATGGTTGATCTTTATCTCACAAACATTGGAGCTGAATGTAATTAAGTCAAAGTTACTGAGATGGTTGTTTGTTCCATATTTCAATGTTCTGAAATTCATGTCTTTCTCCCGAAGGCTGGACTTTAACGGGTTCTACACGGAGAAACTGGAAGCAATGTCTGCCGAGAGAGCAATGAAAGATAACTCTGTGCTTTCAGACTCAAGTGCCCATACGAACAGTAAGCTCGTTCAACATTTTTGTTCTTATTTTTCTATGGTTTGGATTCCTGTTTACATGTGGAGATATTTATTTACCTAACATAGACACCCAGATGTAGGTAATTTTGCATTACTTTCCATAATTTACCTACCGTTGGTCATGATGAATGTGAGAGAGAGAGAGAGAGAGAGAGAGAGAGAGAGAGAGAGAGAGAATGGAAGCGAGAAAGATAGGGAGAAGAGAAGGAGGGAGGGAGGGAGGGAGGGAGGGAGGGAGGGAGGGAGGGAGAGAGAGAGAGAAGGAGGGAGAGAGAGAGAGAGAGAGGGAGGGAGGGAGAGAGAGAAAGAGAGAGAGAGAGTTGGGGTGGGGGGGGGGGGGGTATTTATAAGGTGTGTTATATTCCATGTATTCTGTTTTGTTTATCAACTTTGCAAAGCACCTAGAGCCACTCTGGGATAGGGCCTATATATTTCGACATTGTTATTGTTTTTATTATTAAGGCATTATTGGATGTCTTCCTCAGGTTCAAATGGATCCCTCCCTGCATCGTTCACAGCACAGAGGCCCGACTCTGTTCGCTATGTACCCGGGCAGTACAAACCTCACAAAGGTTCTGGTTCAGGATCTGATCGATGATAGATGGTGTGAACTCTTGCTGTAGTAGCATCTGATACTGTTGTGATGTGGCAGTTTCCACTGGATGTTTTCCAGGAAGCTTAGAATGTTTCAGAATGTTTTACGGTCTGCCGGGGTAAAAATGAATTATATCGGTCTGGATTTCTGAAACTGTCCTGATTTTGCTCTCTGTATGAAAATAGTCTGGATACAAGATGTACCGTAATAGACAATGAGATCTGTAAATTTTGAGTCCCCACGCACAAGTTTCTATTTTGCTTGAACAGTTCAGGATTTTTTTTGTAGCCAGTTGTCAACTCTGCTGGGCCATATAATGCCATTCTTTAAAAAAAAATGTTATAAACTGATTCCATCCAGAATTTTTTCAGGCTCTGGACAGAATTATTTTTCCCTGTTCAATTTTTGACCCGGGGTGCATCTATTTAATGCATTACTGTGAGGCTCTAAGTTACTCTACATATGTATTGTCATGTACCAAATTGATGGGAATAAATAGAGGAATCTGTTCATGCTAATTTCAGTGACGTATATTTTGATTGCATTGTATTTGTCCACAGACAAACAAAAAATAGAAGAAAAAAATTCCGCTAAATATCTTTTACAATTTCAACTTACCTCATTTTTTTCAGCACTGCAAGTCCTTATAATCCATAGGAATCAACACAGAATTGTAGGGATATCACCCTGGCACACATTTATGAAAGAATTTCACAAGTTTAGTTGAAAAATTTTCACTGAGGGGCTTTTTTATGTATGTATCCAATTTACGAAGAAGAGAAAAAAACACAAATAATGAATGTATACACTTTGTAACACTAAAAGACAAAATAGATTACATACAGAAACACAGACACAGTCCATCAAGAACACAAATCTACAATTCAAAGTTTTTACCCGTGTGGTAATTTTCGAAACAGTCCTTTGGATGAAGGTGCGGCTTCGTGGAGCAGCCTGAACAGAAGAAATTTGTCCGCATCCTTTTCCCCGTTCCTTTGCTACAGTAGTGACAAATTCTGTCCTTGGGGGAATGAGCCACTAAATGTTTGTTTCCCACAAACCTTTCAGGGAGACTGGCAATAGGTCTGCCTGGTAGCCGAGCTTCATCTCGAGCTTTTTCCTCGTCTGTCACTGTGACGATTGAGAGCTCTGTCAAGCCTTTGATCAGTTTCTTTTTTAAATTTAGGAGGCTTGTCCGCTCCTGGTGGGACAGTGAATACAACACGTGTGCATTTGTTTGGCACAGTTCCAGCATAAAATAGAATAGTTTTTTCCTCCATTTCATTGTCTTTCTATTGAAAAGGCCACAATAGCCTGACTGCTGGTCTGCACGATCACAGCCGTTCATTTTTTTGTTGTATGAGTGAATAACGGCCGGTTTCTCTGTTGCTTTTCATCTAGTTATTTGGGTGACCATCTCAACAGCTGACTGAGTGGAACAAATCACCCCAGGTTTCCTCGCCTTTTTGTCTCTCCAAGTAGCACATAAAATGTCAACATCCTTATGGGTGGTGAGGTACCACTTACACTCGCGGTGCATAAGACGATTGGTGCGCAGTTGAGGAGGGAAGCCCCGACGATTTGTGTTGGCGGTGCCTGTGTAATAGAAGCCATTTGCAGACAGGGAACTAACAAGCTTCATGGTGGTATAGTACCTGTCAGCAAATACGTGATGGCCTTTTGAAAATGGCTCAAGAAGAGTTTAAAAAACCTAGACTGCCTGACCTCCGTCTTGATCACAGTCAGGTTTGTATGACGTCTGTTCCCCAAAGTATGTCAGCAAGTTCAGAACATAGCCTGTGACACTGTCACACAGTCCAAATACCTTGATATGGTACTTTTTTGGTTTCGAAGGATTGAACATCTTATAAGCCCTTCGATCTTGGTACCCAACAACCATTTCGTCAAGTGACAAGTTTCGGTATTGGTAAAACGCAGAGCGAAAATTTTGCGGAAGCATATTCATGAATGGTTCTATTTTTGCTTTTGAATCGGCAACAGCAGACTGAGCACAATGAAGCATGGAGTGGTGTCAGGCTTCAAATCTTGGTCGAGAAAACATGTCGTGATACCATTTCTTATAATTTGATGAGTCTTCTGAAGCAAAATACTCTCATATTGAGACGGCTGGGTCAATTCCCATCTCAATAATAACAGCGAAAAATTTGTACAACTCAGACACTGTCACTTCGTACTAGTTTGCAAATAGGGACTGTCGACATGGAGGGTTGTTCAGGGCGCATCGATGTTCTGCGTACTCATTGATTGAGTTCACCAGGTATGTGATGACTTCTGTCGTGAACAAGACCTGGAAACAGTCTAGCGGACTGGAATCCGCTGTGAGGTCTGCCCGCAGTCCTGATCCATTTGGGGGCACAAACCTGAAATTGTTCTGGGTCTCTCCTGCTGTAACCTAGGAATAAAAAAGGAGGGAAGCTCATGAGAATCCAGATATGGTAAATTTAGTCAGAAGGAGACGAAAATACTTTTCAAAAGTCATAATAATGATAGCGATCATTGATATATTTATGCGCTTGTTGTTGTTGTTTTTTTTAGATCATCATGTAAGTTGTGCTTCAAATTCTACTAAAACTAAATCTAGATCTAGTAAGAATAAGACTAGATCTAGGTAATATGTGTCAACCAATAATGCATGACATTCCAAAAAAGTCGGAGACCAAGCTGAAAACTGGATTATGTATCAGTAGTTTTTGTCATCTAACAATAACATCTAAGCCTAAAAACAATCATCTCTAGGCCAATCTAAATCTTGTGAATGTGAGAGTGTGAGGTCTTGCCCTTCCAATTCTTTTATAGTAAAGCGTTTGCCTAATGTCTAAAGTAGCTAAGGCTGACTATGGACTGGAAATCTCTTGAGATTTCAGGACAAGACTTATATCTTACCTCAGACCAGTGTGGTAAATCTGTATCCCTATTGTCATTGACTGTTGGATCAGTCCTCCTTTGTTTTCTGGATGATGGTTGAACATCAACACTCTGGGTGTCTGATTCTGATCCTGAGAAGGATGGGGCATCAGTATAGTCTCAAAAAGGAAGCGAATTTGTTCAGCAGTGTGTCGTCGCGGTCTCGACGGTCCAGGCTCCATGTTGTTTACGTTACGTAGCAACTGAGTATCGACAATGCTCAGAGATTGAGGTCAGGCTTGTTTATAGTATTCTACTTCCTTTCGACAACTTAAAAACTAGGAACTAATTTTAAAAGTGCACATTCGTTTCGGATTTTGTAGAGCCGCTCACAGCGGCCGAAAGGACGCAGCGGAAAAATTCCGAGCCGCTGTCAGCGGCCGAATGTACGGAATCAGTTAATATTGCCCTGAATAAAACTGGCTGCTGTCATGAAAGAGTAGTCAAATGTTTACAAAAATTCTCTGTGAATTGGCTCCCCATGTGGTGCTATTCATGCTTGCCAAGAGTCAGCAATATATTTAGAGTATGTAAATTGTACATATTGATAACAATTTTATTGCTGCTGTTTATGGAATGTTTCTCATGGGGAAGGTTGAAATTGGAGCCAAAGAGGAATGATTTTTAATAACTATTGAAAAATATTTCCTTTCTTTCCTTTTGCCTACTAAAAGAAAAGCCTGTGCTCCAGAATGAAAAAAAATCTTTTGTGTATTACATTGCGGCAAAGAACAAAGTCCAAATTGACAGAAGGACATTTCTGGCATTTTTTTTTCATTTCCTATATATTTTGAAGCGTGGTGGAATGAATATTCAATATTTTTTAAAATATGAATCTCTTATTCTTGTGATATTGAGAGATCTGATCTCGTTCTCTAGAGAAATACTTTCTTCCTCTAATCTCTTATGTAGCCTGTTTCTGCTCCATCCACCACGTCTGTGTTGGTAAATCGCATTTTTCCATGTTTTCCAAGAATCTTTCTTTAAAGTTAAGGCATCTTGCGTTAAGACAGTTGAATTTCTTCTCCTGATCTGAATATGATGTTCTGGTCTCCCTCATGTATAACTTGGAATTGGGGTCGTGCTTGTAAAGATAACTCTCATAACCTCCTCCCTGTGCACTGAATGGGACTTGCTTGGTGATATTGTATCATAAAAATACATGTGCATTGATCTTATTAATGATTCATTCTATTTGTGAATATCAATATTGTATTCTTTTTATGTGCCTTAGTAGCAAATAAAATACAAACCTGGCTCGATTTCTTGTTTTCAATAGTGGACTTTAAATTATAAGATGTTAGTCTTGTTTGGTTATGGTACTGCCGATAAAATTCTTGAATTGATCACAGAATGTTGTAAGCTCACAAGTATCTGTTGTATTCTGGTTAGGCTGTTTACCTTCCCTCTTCAAGACTCCTCCTCCGTACTATTGAAATTTTTCCTCTACTTCTTTTGTATGTTTATCACTCTCTTGTGAACTGCTATTTCCAGGGTGCCTTGATAGTTGAAGCAGACTTTGTGCTGTTGAGGCTAGAGAGGTGAGCAGAGTAAGCCTGATTCCCCCTTTGGACTTCTTCGTTGACATCCATCCCTTGGCGCTCATATGACCTTATGCAGTTGCGAGCGCCGTAAAACATTACTAAAAAACAAAAAGACTCAAGTTTGATTCTCCTTTAATCTACCCTTGTGCTGGCATGGACTATTCTACTTCAGTGTATCCATTTTGTTACGTGATTCATGGAATTTCTGGTGCTAATGTGCCTCTCGGGATCAGATGTACCCGTAACAGCGTCTATAGCGTAGCAGTCAGGCTCTATACTATTGCATGCAAAAAGTACTCAATTTGATTCCCAAATGGGGAGCTTTTTTCTTATCTCTATTGTATGTCTGCTGGGTTGGCCTTGACAAGCAGAGTCAAAGTGTCCAATCCCCTTAATGATCGAAATTATATCGATAGGGACATAAAGCATATAAATTAATTATATGAGAAACAAAATGTTGGGGAAGAAGGCATGAAAAAGTGTTTTGTTCAGATGAATTTATTGTCACTGCTCAATTTCATGATTTCACTAGTGGCAAAGAACACGTTAAGTGAGTCATTTGACTGTCTTTCATCACAAATATTCATGCATCATGACATTCTTTGAATATCCTTCTGTATTTTTAAATAACTAGGCATACTTCCTAGCGGAAGCAGTATCACACTGAAAAATCATTTCACACAAAACGTGTCAAATATTAAAACCGACACAAATATTTACCTGACACGAGTAGATCTATGCCAAAAAGGTTTATCACATTTGAAAATAGGACGGCTGATTATTGCATCATACAGTAAAATATACTCAATATTGTTTTCCACATAAAAAAAAAAAAATGTGGACTGTTGATTATATATTGTAAAACACTCATACTTATAGCTTTCACTGAAGTGGAAATAATGGACGGATGATTTATTAGATAAATGGGAAAATTATGACACTACATGAATGAATAGATGATCTGACTGCATAGTACTGAAAAAGTATTTTAGTAAACGTGTCAAATTTGATAAACATATATATCTAAATTGACAAATGATTGCATATTGTTAATGTTAGATAAAGGGGATCTGGTACAGACGGACACATCATTTTGTCATGTTACATGGGAAGGACAGACAATGTGGTCTGAGAGTGACCAGCGAATGCCAAGAAAAAAAAAACTCTGCTAGAGTGTAGCACTGCACACAATACATGAATAAATTCTGCATAACATTAAAAGTGTATGTTTTGGCTCTCAGATAGTGTCACAGTCAAGATGAATTCATTCACATAAATTTGTATAATTTTGAGACTTGCAGGTGCTATGATTCTTTTAAAACTGAAAATCGTTGTAAAATATTTAAAAAATAATATCTTTCAGCAGTGTTCACTTTTTGTTGAGCATTCCAACTGATCCTTAAAAATGAAAAATATATCAAATATATATTGAAAACAAAAATGCTGAAAAAGAGAGACAATTATGTTAATCTTTCAGCAGTGTTCACTTTAACTTTAACTGTTGAGCATAGCGGCAATAACATATTAATAGAAAAAAACCCACTTGTATGTGTATTTGTACATGTAACAAAAATGAGCTGATGAATCTTTTGGTAGAGCTCGTCTTCTGGTTTACAAAATGGCAATATAATAGAATCATACTTTGTGACAAAGACAGAACGAACGATGGAAGGAAAAAATGAGAACATGTATAAAATAATGCTGTATTACGACAGTGTGATGATTATCGTCATGAAAGCACACAATACAATAATACATACATGAAGTCTGAGCTCTGCTCAAATTTTTAAAGTTCAATTTAGGTTGGGGTTTTTAAAAAATCTATAAAGAATGAGTCATTACTTTGAGTTTTTAAAAGATATACATCAAAGCCAAAACAAGAATGCATCAGAATCCTCCAAAATGAGACTTTCAGCCTAAGCTATACTTTGAAGTCATATTTCTACAAAGGCTTAAAAATAGACTACAACTACAAGAGGTATTTGCAATTCCCATTCCAGCATATGATTACAAATGCATCTTTAGAATGGATCAACTGACATTGATTGAATTAGTACACATGCATTTTTCCTTTTAATATATTCTCAATACTGAATGTTGTTTTGCTCTAGCAGAATGTTGAAGAGCTTAGCCCGACCTTGCTATAGCTGGACATCTAATAATCATGTCACACTTCATTACGGTGGCGGCCTAACATTAAAAGGTCCCGACAGAATCAATTTCATCTGGCATAGTTTAGACTCTGTCTAGTATGGGCGAATAGTACCAGCCAGACCTCTAAGAGCCCACCGAGAGCCAGCGATACCCTCCCGCCGCACGTCCATCTCCAACACCACCTCCTGCCTGGCCAGTCTGGAGTGGTACACAGGACATGCGTACGTCTCTGAGGCGCGGGTGCTGTCCTGGGTGCTGGGCTTCTCCGCGACGGGCCAGCAGGTGACGTGGACCACGGGCAGTGCGGCACAGCCCGTGCGAGGTGGAAGGTCCTGCAGCTCTCCTGTTGTCTTCTCCCAGGCACAGCCCCACACATAGATGCCCCACACAAACATTCCTTCTTGGGGAGGGTCTCTCAGCTGAAAGTGCACAGAAACAAAACCTTGATAATATAACTTGGACAAAATAAAAAATGCAACTGTATATGGGCTATCAGATGACGAATGATCCCAACAGGATTCTCGATTTTATTAAAATAAAGTCTACTCAAAGATGTAAACAGCTATTTTAAATTATAAATTGCTGTTTATTAAACTAAATTTAACCACATATAATTTTAGAATTTAGATACTTCAAACATTTCGACTCGCAAAGTAAAACCAAGCTGTGCTACGATACGAACTTACGTGAAGATACAAGTATCCAACTTGTGTCCTGCATGCTCATAATATGACCTCATGCAGTTGCTAGAACAATAAAACCTACCAAATTAAACTAAAAGAAATCAGCTGCTCTGTGTAAGACTCCATCATACGTCTTTTTTCGTAATGGCGTATAGCCGAGTTTTACACTTAGCAGAAACAGATGTAAACTGGTAATCTAAAAATAGTAGCCTACATTGAAAATGAAATAATACACACATGAATACAACAATAAACACATAATCTAGTAATACATGTAAAGAAACACAATCATAAGTGCATGATTTCAGAACTTCATTAATTTAGTTAAAGAATGGAATACATTATATTACAAATATATACATAAATTCTTTGATTAAAAGATATCGGTCTGTTACAGATGAGACTCAAAACATGTTGGGAACTGGTTAATGTGTTGGACACACATCCAAAACTCAGGAAAACTATATACAGTCCATGTTGGCTTTGAGCCCGGCCATTGGGAGAAAGCATAAGCGTGCTTAATGACGAGGCGTGCTTGAGTGCAAAGTAGACATAATCTTGAGATTTTCATGTAGAAATTTCCTGAGTTATTTCCCTGCGTTCGTAAGTCGTGGTCGCACAAAAGTGTGCACTATCATTTTTAACCGAAATGGTAGTTTTTGTTTGTTTGTTTTAAAATTTATTTTGATAACGTATCATGGTAATAATTGAAAAGTTACTATCCATCTGATAAAGCATGAAATGAAAGATTTGTTGGTCACCTATGAATAAAGTAAATGTGAACTAGTTGACGTAATTTTAATGGAATCAAGTATCAAGGCAGGTAAGGAAACAAACATTCATGAAGAAAACAAAAGATGTGGAAAGGGTAGTTAAAAACATAAAAACACGAGGTCAACATAACTTGAAAAGTCATTAGTCACTATTTATAACTTTGACCTGCAATTTACTACGCCATTTTCCATATAAGCAATACTAAAATTTTCCTTTGAAAAAGGTCAGCGTCCATGCCCTTTATATAGGGCCTGTACGCTTCCAGGGTGAACACACTCACTGCTGCGGTGTAGACTGCGTTCGAACTTCAAGGTGTAACCATGAAAGTATTGGCTGTTTGTAAATAAAAGCGCGCCTGAAGCCGAAGTTACCGTGCTTAAAGGCGCGTAATTTATGTAGCAAAAATTCAGTAAGAGCCGTTTAGCGTGCTTGAGTCCAAAATGTGTTTTATACCGGCGTGTTTCAAGCCGACATGGACTTTAAACAGCGAAAAATTTGTTTCTATTGAAACAGACAACTGAGTTATCACAAGAAATACCTATAAATAATAAATGCCTTTTCCTCCATACCCCTACAAAATCCTCATACATCTTAAACTTCAAACTCTGTTTGAAAAATCATCCCCTACCATAGACCAACAAAATGCAACCCACTGGGGAAACTACATCATCATGTCTCACTAGAATAATGAAAACCACAACAAAGCAAGAGCAGGATCTCAAATGTAGGCCAATGCACAAAAATAGACCACTCACATGATCTTTGTCCCTGGAGGTGACCTCTGTCTGGAAAGTGAAAAGTTCGAAATTCCCTGAGCGCTCGACAGCATAGCTCTTGATGCTGTCCTGCTTCAGTAAGGCCAACAGACCTCTGGGGTTGAAGAAAGCTCCAAGCCAGTAGGCAGGCATCTTCTCACGACCCTGTGAAGATAATACAGTATGAATGAGTAAATAATGTCATGATTTCATTATATCAGCATTGGTATATGTCAACGGTTAAACATTGTTCTCTTGCTGCGCAAAAAAGATTAACAGTTAATGTGAATGATAAATAATATGCAGGTATTTGACTGTGACACAGTGGATAAAGGTTCGAATACACAGTGCTTACACTCATACAGGTATAGGCTACTTGATTGATGAAAGGATACAACAAAAATAGGCGCTTTTGAAAATACATATATAAATCGTCTCATTCTGCTTTTTTCTCTCACTCTTTTCTCTCATCTTCCCTTGCACCTCCTTTTTCTCTCAAAACATCTTCACTCTTTCATTGTCTCTTTCTTTCTATCGTCTAAATACACAAAACAAATCTAGTTTTGACCCTCCCACCCCCCTCCCACAACCTCGAAACACTTACCAGTGACAAAATGCGCTCAAAGTGATGACATCTACTCTGCAGCTCCACCAGCCACTGACCCATGCCATAGGTCAGGGGTGGAGCTGAGTTACCAGACATGCGACACCAGGCCTCGGGGATACGCAGATGGAAAATGTCGTCGGCCACTTCCAGGGTATGCTGGGACACCTGATCACCCAGCACGTTGCTCTCTGTGGCCGTTTTGATGGCCTGGGAGGACAGACACATTTCAATCAAGTTTTAAGTTCATGATTATTTGGCGTACTGTAACATTTGAAGGGCTTTATGACGAAGATATACATGTAGTATTGGAGAAGAGAGAAAGATGAAAAGTGAAATCCCTACTGAGTGGAACAATCACATTTAGAAAAGGAAGGTGGTGCACAGATGAAGTCTTTGCTCAGCGAAAAGACAATTGAATATGATAGAGGACTGAAGAGTTATTTTGAGGAACAAGAAAAAGCAATTTGACAAGGTGAATAAAGAGTACCAGTACCGGTGTGAGAATTTACTATGTCTATACCTCCTTGCAACACCTAAAATCAGAAATAGCAGATTAACTACTGGGAAAAAACATGTCATATGTTAAAAAAATGAAAAACACAGAAAAGGCCAGTTATATAATTCCCCATCTATGGGTGGTTGAAGAAAAAAAAACTGAATCGAAGAAGTATGAAATCATTAATTTGTTTGGATCATTTTTATGACAAAACACAAAAGTAAGAAAGATTAGCGATTCTGCTAGCAAACATGGCCCCATGGCCTGTTGTCTCTTCACAGAGCATGAGACAGCACTCGATGAGTTTCCTCACGTCACTGGCAATGGACCCTCTCACTTCTCCAGTCTAACATTCAGGGAAAAAAAAGAATACTCCCTCCCCAAAAACAGACTAAAGTAGTAAAGTGAACAACAGTGGCAATGGAAAAAGACATATCAAACCTCAAGAGCAAAATGACATAACTCAGCATATATTATCTTTTATGGGAATTTGGTTGGAATTACATCCATTTCGTGTTCACACTATTTGAGCAATCTGTCTCTCTAAACAAAACTGAAGAAAATCCAGTGGTCCCGCAGATTTTGGTTTAAGCAGATTCCAGTGCATATAATATACTATTTTGTGAATATATCTGTACATCTTTACATCACTTGTACAGAATGCCATCAGTGTGAGGGATAACTCACCTGCAGACTCGTCCTGATTTCATTGAGAAGTTTGTACATGATCTCCAATTCCTTCATGATGAAGTTGTTGAATGATGTGAAGCCACCAACTTTCTTCACTTTCTCCACAATGTAATCCTGGAATAGAAGTATGAGTATGACCACATAATAAGCTCAGATGGGTTTAAGTGGGACCATAGCTTGGGTCATGCTTGTTTGAGTCCTAAATGAGGCATCCTTGAACTGCAGTTGTTTGAGTGTTTTTAAAGGCTCTCCCGCTCATTTGGTTTGGTCCTACTGAATAGGGACGTTGGAGGTTGCTATACATTCTATTGAAGCTTAAGTGTGCGTCTTACCTTTGATACAATTTTCTTGGAAAATTGTTCAGTAAGTTATAAAAAGAAACAAACACTAAAACTTGTTACTTCGATAACATACATCTCCATTGCTACACTACATAAACTGGCAAATTAATAATTTTGTTACAACTTTCCTTGCAGATTCATAAGCTCAACTGTCAACATAAAAGAGGAAATACTTTAATAGTAATCTTGTTGTAGGGGTTGGGAGAACCTTCTATAACATGTATATATGGTAGATTCTCTTTAATCCTGCAACCACCTTTTGTTAACATTTTCCTTTTCTTTTTCCCCTCCAATATATCCCTTTGTTCTTCTCTTCACTTTTCCTTTCGTCTGCCTTTTCTCTAAATTATTATAACTTCCTTGACAGATTCATAAACAAGACATATATACAAGCAAACAGAGCCACTCATTATACCTTGTTGTAGGCCTTGGGGACCTTCTGCAGCATGGTGTAGCAGATCTCCCACAGCTCCATGTCCTTCCTCATCTTGTAGGTGGCATAGCTGGCCGTGCTGAAGACGCCTTGCTCCACCACCAGGGGGTTGTTGCTCTGGCTGCTCACACTTGCCAACGGAGGACCTGAAAATAGCAGAAGGAAAAAAAAATTGTATTTATTGATTAATCTACAACCTACATATATCTAACCTATATTTGTTTTATTTTTTTTATAAACTTTTTTTTCTCTTTCTTTTTTTTTGGAGGGGGGGGGGGGGGGGAGAAATGAGGGTGTTGACACCATAACACTCATTCAATGCTTGGAAAAAGCAAGATAGAATGACAGTACAAAAGATCGAGAGCAAAGAAGCAGGATTTATTAGAGGTGCCCTCAAACCACAGGCATAGCTGTGGCACCCACAAACCATCAACATCTTTATTTGAAGAAAAAAGGAAGAACAAAAACAATTTAAAAAAAACAGAAGCTCATGAAGCTTATTGTTTCATCTCCGTCATGAAACTTTTTAGTTGTTTTGATCCTTAAGCAGTTTACGAGTTTTTGCAGAGGAGCATAGTAATGATTTGAACAACACAATTGTCTTGGGTGTAAGAGTCACTTGAGGGTGCCGAAGGTTGATCAAACTTCTTTCCGGTCCTTCTTAAGTTTACATTGTTCATTCAAGCTTTTTTCCCCGGCTCAAAATGAGTATCATATTTCTTTAATTCAAAGAAATAATAACAGCAATTTAGTGTTGTTTAAGGAAAGAAAGAAGCAGTCCAGAATATCAGTGATCTGACAAAGGAATGGCCTACCAGAGGCCCCCTTCAACCACTTGCTGAGCTATTATAGAAGTGAAAAGTCAATGTGCTACGATGTTCAGGGGTAAAAAAATTAAGAAAATTTTGCAACAGTGCATTCACAATGTAAAGACATTTCTAAAATAAGTAGCCGAAAAATAGTGCCAAGGTCTATAAAATAACTACCAGAGTGCTGAACAACAAAAGGAAAGTGAACTCAATGTACTTATGAAAAAAAGAAAAATTTGTACTCATAATATTAATAAGTTTCAACAAAGAGAAACTATTCTTAAACATAAAGTTGAAAGAAAAAAGTATAATAAAATGTGATAAATATAAATGTTTCAAACATGACAAACAGTTAAACTAAGCATACTCATACTTTTTAACTTCAAACAATTCCATGAAAATAGTAAATTCATACATATATCAGATACATTTAATGTGAGGTGGGTATAGAATAGTATTTGGGGGGGGGGGGGGGGGGGAATACATTTTGATTTTGATGATGTAAGTTGTAAAACATAGAACTTGGGTAATATTTTTTTTCTAACACAGATACATATTTAAATTATCATTATGCGGTCTAACATGCATGTTACGCAAATGGATCATCATACTGAACATTTGAACTAACCAAAGTCTGTGCAAGAATCAGGCAAATGCTAGTTGAAATCATCTTAATCTTTTAAAGAAAATTCCAAGAAACATGAGATTGAGAGACAACACACAGCAAACTATTTGTTAGGAGCACACAAAATAGGATCTGATCCAGTGTCTGATCTCACAGGTCAACTAGACAGGTTTAAAGACAGCACAGGTTAAAAACACCAGTACAAAACAAAGAAAAAAAATGATGTCATGATGATAGGCCATACATGAAAGAAACATAACATCTCAATTGTTAAACAGGTATGAAAACTGAACATGAAGGAACATAAAGAAAGATGAAGAGATATCAGAAGGTTATTTCTTTTAAGCAGCTATTAAAACATGAAGAGAAGAAGAAGAAAAGAAATTAAAACACATAAAAAAAAATTCTGGAAAGAGTGTCTTTGATTTCTGAATACTACTCTGAACTATGAGGGTGCAGTGGTGGAGTGGTTAGTGCACTCGTCTCCGAAGTGGAAAGTCTGGGTTCGAGTCTCGGTTTGGACTCAGATTTTTTTTGCCCCCTTGAGCCCACCCAGCAGTAATGGGTACCTGACTTTGAGTTGGGGAACTAAAGGTGGCGTGGAAAGGAACTGGCCACCTTACCACAATATGCCGAAGGCCCAGGAAGTTGTCTCACTAACGAGGCAATCCCCAATGCCCGGATCGGATGCGGGAACAACTTTTTACTCTGAACTATGAAAATAATGGCTTTGATAGGCCAATTAGTGTTGCTACACAAGACTTTTGCTATGGAAGTTACATTTTCGTTTCCACAAACTTAAGAGTTTGAGAAGTGAGAAAAAAAACACTGAGGCATTTTTGCACTTTTACAAAGAAAAGAAAAGTGCTACCAGGAATTCCACAATTCATGAAAAAATGGACGAGAAACAAAATTACATGAGCCATTCGATGATTGCATCACAAAACGTATAAAAGTATGAAGGAAGACTCTTCGCTACTTTACAAAGAAAACTTGCAGAACAATTTAGTGTAGTTTATTTAAATGTTGGAAAGACAAAAAAGTTTTCAAGGGAACCAAAAGTTTTTAAAAAGTAGAAACATTCACTAGTCTAGACAGCTGATGTCTAGGAATTACTAAAATTAAGAGTACCATCAAAGCCAATAGTTACCTGTTTTAGCTGTACAAACAAAATATACAACAATCACCAAATATTAGCTCACTCAATGATACAGAACGATAGGCAGGAACTTATCAAAATTATTCCATGTCATATAAGTTTCAACAACAGTAATAGCCACCGTTACTGCTCAAAGGGAGTATAATATTTTATCTAAACCATTGTCACAGCACTAGACCAGTATTACCAGCATAATATGCTACTACTGTTTGTGAACACACTGAAAACGCCTCAGTCAATCTAAACAATCTTATAATGCGTCATGCACTAGGAGATGAAGATATGAGCACATCCATTACAAAAACCACACAGCATTGACCACATGAGTATCATATCCCTTGCACGCTGTAAAGGTTGTGCAGACTCGGATGTACTAAATCATTCAACATTCGTCTTTTTAGAACAAAAACTGACAAATTTTGTTAAAGGCAGAAAGGACTTTTCTGACTCACCTCAATTTCAAAACAAATTATGTCACAGCAACTGCCTAAGAAAAACTTGTGACCATATTACTGATTTAAAAAAACAAACAAACCCAAACACTCCCCCCCCCCCCCAAATAAAAATAAATAAAATAAAACATTATTAAAATAAGGATTGAGAGCTGAATGGAATACATGTAGTCTGCAGAACCTCTAAGACAAGCACATCAGATGTTCAGCATCAAGCTTTTATTTTGCGTGTTCACCTGTCTTTGGCACGGCTTTTTCTTCTTCACCCTCTACTTCTTTCACTTTATCTTTGGTGACACGAGCTATATATATATGGCATACAAACACAAAAATCAGACATTTTCTGTTACCTCAATGCACTACCTGAGCATGCATAGACAAGGACAAGGATTTCATAAGAAATTGACTCACCCCCCCCCCCCCCCCAAAACACATACACTCACAGCATTGCCTTTTTTCCTCTCCCTCTCTGTCTCTCTCTGTCTCTATCTCTATCTCTCACTCTCTCTCTCTCTGTCTCTCTGTCTCTCTCTGTCTCTCTCTCTCTCTCTAAATAACTTAAATATGCAAATGTATGGCCTAATATGTAAATAATATATATATATGTTAAAATGTGTGCAAGTGAGTGCATATTCATACAAAACCCAGTCAGTGCATTGGCAAGTTCAGTCGAGGTAAGTATGTCCAGATGTGCATTTTACATGAGATGAAAGAATTAATGCATCAGTGCTTGTGTGTGTGTGTGTGTGTGTGTGTGAGTGTGTGTGTGAGTGTGAGTGTGTGTGTGTGAGAGAGAGTGTGTATGTGCGTGAGTGTGTGTGTGTGTGAGTGTGAGAGAGAGAGAGAGAGGGAGAGAGAGAGGAAGAGAGAGAGAGAGGGGGGGGGGGTAAATGTGTGGTGTTGGGGGTGAGGGTGTTAATTGCGAGTCTATATATGTAGTCTCCATGAGCTTAAGTGTGAGTGTGAGTGAGTCTGTGTGTGTGTGTGTGAGCAAGTGAGGCTTGAGTTAGGTGGCATGCATGGCGTGTATGTATGAGCGTTTGTTGAACGAAAAAGCTAATTCTGCATTCCAGTTGAGATAACTTACCAGAAAACGGGGTCGGTGGCCTGGGGAAGAGCTTGTGCGACAAGGTCGGAGAGGCTGGCATAGAGTCAAAGACTTTGTTCAACCTTGTAAAGATATACTGGTCATCTCCAAGCAGAGTCTGGATAACAAATAAAAAATAATTATTTGAATAACAAAAACGTTTTATGGCATTAAGACACAGAAATATGGATACTTTAGAGATGCAACGGGAGCCCTTCTAAAAACAGTATTCTTGAACAATACAAATTCACAAATTCATGAGTATATCAAATCGACCAAGGGGAATAAATCAAAAGTACAGATACAAATACATCATAAAATATCTTAGTTTGAGAAATGTTCAAGATCATGCACATGATACACACACTCTCTCTGTTTTACCAAGCAGTAAAGCTGTAGACTATAAAGAGTTTTAAAAAGTTTTAGTAGAGTTTTTACGGCACTCGCAACTGCATAAGGTCATATGAGCGCCAAAAGATTAGAGGTGTTACAAGAGAGTAACAAACATAAAAAAGAAGAAGGGGTGATAACGATGATAGATGTTTGATAGGAAAGAAGAAGCAAACCACACTAGAGCATCCGCCAACCACCCACATAAAGAGTTTAAAGAGTTCACACAAGAGATTCTATCCTATAAAACCTCACAACAAACAGTTTGCATTTTTGTTCTGGACCTTAAAAGTAGAAAAAAAAATAAATTTCAACCAAGTTTTGAAACAGGGGAAAAGAGGGGTGGCGGTATGTCAGGGGTGGTTTGCAGGTCAAGACCTTAAAGACCTATAATAAGATGCAATGTAGACACAAAGGGAACAAAGCACAAAACAGATAACGTAAGCCAGCTGTGAAAATGTACTAAATCCAAAATTTTGAATTTTAAAAAATTGCAGATCTTGATCTGTGGCTCAAAAAATATTTGGTCAAAATTCAAATTCTAAAGGTTAAAAACAAGCGAGGAAAGGTAAACAGTGGATGTAGGCACAATTGTTAAAAGAATGAAACAGGTTTCTTTTAATTTCTCCTGTAAAATTTTGCTTTCCACTTTCAGGGCTTGGTAACGTACATTTGTAAGATCTTGCTTACGATAAATAGAACTACTTTGCAAAGGTAAAAGTTTGAATAAATATGACTGACGTTTGTCTAAAAAAATAGTGTGCACATGTGCACACATTAAATCATGCTAATTATAAAGGCAGCAATAAAATCACATATGGATTATTTTTTATTGTTGTATAGAGGTGAAAGAGCATGCCTTCATATGTGCTTGCCATGCAGTATAATATAGATCCATGAATACAGCCTATTTGGGTAAAAAGAACCACGTCGACACAAAAACAGTCATTTGCTCAGGGAAAAAGCAAGACAGAATTGGAAACAAAAGAGGGAGAAGAAAGAAGTAGGATCTACCAGTGGTGCCCTCCAACCATCTGCAGTGAGAACATTAGACAAAAGCTATGGACAGATCTCAAAAAAACAAAACTCATAGGAACAAAAACTCATCTCTTACCCAAAATTTAAAAAAACAACCCCCCCCTCCCCCCAAACAAATGTGCAGTATGAGAAAACAAACAACAAAAAACAAAGAAGAAAATATCCCCCAAAAATCTAACAAATTTGAAATTGTGAAAGAAAGGAGGTGACACGATAAGATGAAAAAGGGCATGATGGAATTGGACAGGAGGACGTTTTGAAGCAGAGAGAGAGAATTAGAGAGAGAAAAAAGGCACTGGGAGAAAGAGGGAGAGAACAGTAAAGGAGAAATAGTGAAGCAATTGCGAGAAACCAACAAAGAGAGACAGACTGATATATTTATAGACAGAGAGAGAAGGAGATAATAAAGCTGAAGAACAGACAGACAGATAGACAGGCGACAGACAGACAGACAGACAGACAGACAGACAGACAGACAGACAGACAGACAGACCGACCGACCGACCGACCGACTGACAGACAGACAGACAGACAGACAGACAGACAGACAGACAGACAGAGACTTACCACAGATACACACAAAAGCAGACAGACATAAGAATTATGATAGGCAGATCAATGGACACATAGAAGTATGTTTGGACAGGCAGAGAGACAGATAAAAATATAGATAGATAGACATATATATATATATATATGTAGAACACAGAAAAAAATACAAACATTTCATGCAATGGTACAAATGGCATCAACATTTCAAGCACGTAGAATTTATAATTTGAAATATATTGTGCATAGCAATACTAAACAGATGTGCAACACCTTCACATGCCACTTGTTTTAATAAGAAAGCCAACAATTTTCGATCCTCCTCTGTATGTCACATGTTAACAACAAACATTTCACTAATGAATTCTCACTTTGTTCTTGGAATTTAAGGACTCCAGTGGTATAGGCAAATACGACTGTGCATTATTGTCTTTTAAAAAATCAGGCATTCTTCATATTAGCAAAGTAGATGCTTTTAGATATGATTAGTCTTTCTCAAAATAATCGTGATATCTTGACAGAGATTTAAAAAGAAAAACTAAGAGACTGTAAAGGGATATTTTGCTTATTGTTTTGTTTTTGATTGTTTGTTTAACCTAAAAAAATCTGGTAAGCGAATCATGCAAACACATCCAATATTTTAAAAAAAAGTCCAGCTTAAAAGTATTAATAAGGAAGACCTAATCATCACAATGTTCTGCTGCACTGAGCACGATTGATTTAAAGTATTGATAAACCATGCTTTTCACGTGGCAGGGCTTCTCATGCACAAGTGAACTATGAGGGCGTCAAGGGGCCACGGGAAAGAAACCTTCTATGACATCTTTCAGAGACAGTAAAGGACACTGATGTCTGTGATTACAGCAGCAGGAGTGTTAAATTTTGAGAGAAGACAGACACACAGGCTTATAGAACTGTTACGGTACACTTTGATCATAATTTGCCTTACCATGCATGGTAAGAGGAACATTTCAAGACATTCATGCAGAGAACTCATGCCATATATTATACTCCAGTGTGCACTTACCAAGTTCCCAGTAAAAACCCAAGGAATCTATAAATATATTTCAAGCATAAAAAAGTAAACTTCTAGAAAGAGACAATTTCTTGGTCCAGCATTTAAAAAAAGCCTCACAACTGAACAGGGATTGCTTTTCTGTTTGGGAATCAACACAATACATATCTTTTAAGCACTGGAGTCTAAACTCCTGCCCTACTAAACACCTGTACTGTTAATTTGTTGGCAGAAAACTTGGTCCTCTTTGAGGATTAAACCATTCAAATATGACTGAATTTATTTATTTTTTTAACCTCAAGTCAAACTCTAAAACTTGGCCTATGGGGCAAGTTCATCCATGCCCATTAACATATATAATGGCCAACTTCTGTTTGATGAATTCTGTACCAAAAATATCTTTATATTCATGTAAAAGCCAAGAAAAAACTCTATGGAAAAAAAAAATCTTTTTCAGCCTTTTCAAAGGAGACTTGAAATTTTCAGCGACAACATTTTTGTACTGAATATTTTGAGCATCATCCAAGTGCAAATAAGAACGTTCTTCGAGATTATGAAGAAATGAAGGAGAAAATACTCAACAATCAATTTACACTCTTATACATCCTAAACATGCTTGCCAAACAAAAAGGAGTTTATTACAAAATATAGGTATAATTTAAATAGCTTACTTTGTATTCAAATATTATATATTAGAACTGCAGTGAAATCACGACAGTAAGACAGGGTTTGATAAAATAAAGCAAGCTTTAGCAAAGCATATCATAGAAAGAGAACAAATATTGTCTTCAATATAAGGTCATACAAGGAACAAAAATATCATTAAAAAGTTACCCTTTCTACTTGGGAAAGAGAAAAACCATCATAAAAGGTATCCCTTCCAGCTTCAGAAAGAGGAGAAAAACCACTACACTTTGCTGCATACAAACTTTTGATACGAAACAGAAAAACAACCCCAAAAAAACTTCCTCTCCTTCTTGTCCTAGAGCCGCAACCCCAAAATCAAACAGGTACATTTTAGACAGGTAAGGAGATATGATAGACTAACCGAATGCAACACTAACAGGAACAGACGAAGAAATGAGAGACTGTGGATGGCCAAGACACTGATAGACAGATGATAATTTATTCAACAAGACTGGACAAGAGGCAGACGGTAGGATGAGTGCATGACAATGACACAGGACAGACTGGCTAGGAAAACCATAGTACTTCTACCCTATCTCTGGAATGAATACATTTCTAAAGTCTATAGTCTAAGCGATTATGCTGTTTGGCTTGGAGCCGAAAAGGTCGTGGTATTAAACCGCATCAGGGGCCTGACGTTGTGTCCTTTATAAAGGCACTCAACACACATTTTCATCACTTCATCCAG